ATCTGCAGCCACACGCTGGCAGAGCTTACTTTTGCCTTCCATACTAGTCATTTTGTTGAGATGTCGGGTCTGGCCTCTTTTGTTACTGGTTTTTACTTTAGACTCAAACTCTCTCACTGTATAGTGAGAAACGAGAACACGTAGTCTCATTGATGAAAATCTTGAAAGTCATGAGGGAGGTCCCGACAGGTGTAGGGTAGGTGGCTGTGGTGCTGATGAGAGTTTGAATATGAAGTTGAATCCAGCAATGGAAGAGGCCAGACCCGGCATTTCAACACAATGAATACGAAAGGCAGTCAAAGTAAACTCTGCTAGCTCAAGGCTGCAGCTATGTAGAAGGAAAACTCTGTGGTGACTGTGGTCTCTTTCGCACAACCAGTGCATGACTCGTACAGTAGGGCTGGCAGCTAAAACTGCCTAATTTACAGCGCGTCTCTGTGTCTCATAGGGCTGTGCTCCAGCTGCTGTGTCACTGATCTTCAGTAATCTGTAGATCAGGATCCGAATCGCAGTTATTGGACATGCCCAGGTTGTTGCAAAATCTCACAGACGGAAAGGTATCTTGTTTTAATTATATTCATGTGATTCTACATCTCATTTTCGATTGCTTTCCCAGCCCACAAGCCAATATTCCCATGTTCAATATCTGCGACGGCGTCCGCTGGAGCTCCTCGCCCCAACACCCACCAGCTCGCTCAGAACCATCCAGAACATCCAGGCCTTGATGTGCTCGTAAGCCCAGCGCTTCGTCGACTCGGGCGTGGCGTTGAAGCCAATGGCCCAGAGCCCCGCCAGGACGCCGCAGACGATGGTCCTCCTCAGCAGCTCGCTGGGCCCGAACTCGGCGGCGGCGAGGAGCATGGCCTCGCAGGCGACGTAGGGCCAGTAGTTGCTCGGGTGCCAGACGAAGCCGACGGCGGCGCTCCTCTCGACGCGGCCGTTGCGGACGGTCGTGCCCGACGGCCCGGGGAGCACGATGGCAAGGGGCCGCGTGATGCTGGCGATGTGCCACTGGAACCAGCAGGCGGCGAGCAGGACGATGCCGGCGAAGAGGCGGTCGAAGAGGGTGCTGCCGTCGAGGTTCAGCAGCCAGACGAAGGGCGTGAACGGGGTCGAGGCCGTGTAGAGGAGGGCGATGAGGGGGAGGGCCACGCCCTGGCGGGTCAAGACGTTGATCTTGCCTGGGGGGCCGGACCAGGCGCTGTACCACGACGGCTGTGGCTCCGATGCATCGTCGACCTTTGTCATGTTGGAGGCTCTGTAAGTCTGTTGAAAGTCTGATGAGTAAATAACGAGCGGATATTTGGAGTTAGGTTGTGTAGGGCTCGTCCTCGACGGGGAGTCCGAGGCAGACGGTGAAATCTTATACTGTCTGCTGGGCCGGCCGTGCCGCTCTTGGCACTCTGTTGCCTTCCAGCAGGATCCACTGCCTGAAGAAGAAAGAAATGAGCTGACCCGAATGTACCTTGGCCAGGAGGTGAGACTGAGAATCACACACCAAAGTCCCTTGCCCCCAGCTCACACAGGATGGGAGGCGGTGCTGTTGCAGGAAGTACTTGGGCACCGTGAGACCAGAGTGTTGCATCGCAAGTCAGTACAAGGACCAATCATTGGATACGTGGCACCATTTTCTGAACCACGCCCAAGGTTCGGCTTTGGCCTGATCCAGCTGCGTCCCGAGCGAATTCACTCAACCCAGTCACGGTTAGGGCTGAATAACAGTTTCTGAATCACCGTCCGGGTGAATGGGGTATCGACCCGGCATTATACCTGCACTGTGGATGTTGATCGAGTTTCACCTATTCCCACCCACTCTTCTCTGCCAACCTCTGTCACCATTCTGCATAGTTTGAAACATGTTGACGATATGAAATGCTGTCAAACACTTCTCATTATTAAGCGTACGTATACAAAGACAGAAGGTGCCATCTAAAGCCGGCCCCCAAGCGATTCAGCCACCAGCGAAAGCGTCTCTCCCACCACATTGACAATCTCAAACACCTGAATCCCCTTGCACGTCTCCGCCCACAGGTTCAGCGCAGCAATGGACAAGAGCCGTATCCGCCTCGCCGCATCCTCCCTGCCGCCCAAAGTCCCCTCCAGGTGCGTCTCCTCAATCAGGCGCTCGACCATGCTCAGCAGCCGCTTGTCCTCCCCCCTGAGCGCCCCGAGCCCGTCACGGCACACCAGCCGATAGACCTTCTCGAACCAGTGGGTGAGGAGCAGCGCGCAGGCAAAGTTGCTGATGGCGTGCTGGACGCTCCAGTGCCCCGTGCGGCCGCGCGCCACGAACGCGATGCCGACCCGGACGGGGATCCTCAGCGCGCAGATGGCCTGCAGGACCGCCTGGTCGAGGTGGGGGGCGCCCAGCGGGATGGAGTCGTGGCGCGCCTCGAAGGCCTGGGCGACGACTCGGGGGTCCCGCGAGCGGAGGGCGCACTGGCTCTGCAGGCCGACGCCGAGGTGGACGTGCGCGAGGCGGAGGATGGCCGTCGAGTTGAAGGCGAGGGGCCCATGGGGCGAGGAGGGGTCGAGGGCGGATTCGATGGCCGAGTCCCAGCATGTTTGCCAGGCGCTGAAGGCGTTGTTGTAGAGCGAGATGGTGGCGGCGGGGAGGGTTGCTGAGGAGCTGAGGGCCGAGGACGCGACCTGGCGTTCGAAGTATAGCTGGATCAGCAGGGTCTGGATGAGCATGTAGTTTCCGAATTCCGTCGCCGAGTCCTCTTTGGCGAGCGGCTTCCCGGAGAGCAGCTGCTTGAGGTGGTCTTGGAATGTTAGCTGGGATGGGTTGTTCTTCTGCCTCAGACTACGCCATGCGTTGGATGTGGTTGCGCTGAACTCGGCCTCGGAGGATGGCAGCGGCAGCTCGATCTCGGAACTGAGGACCTGTGGAGGGACGTTGAAACAAATTGTTAGAATGTTGAGCACGAAGTAGGCTGAGAAGAGTGTGCGTCGCCATTCTTCCTCGCGTGCCCAATCCCTCCACGAGTCGGCTGTGTTTTGCACCGGCGGGCATTTCAGGACGCCCCGGGTGAGTTCGGCAAGTTGGCTGCTCATTGCCAAGGCGTCTTGGGCTAGCGGTCCGTCGAGCCAGGACATTGTGAGGACAAGAACCAGCAATACCTGAAGCAGCTCGACGTCTGCAGCCGCGGAGCCTGGTTGACGCGGTGTTTCTGCCTGTGAAGGTGTGCTGCTGGCTACTGACGAGCTGGTGTGAAGTTCAGCGTAACGGGGGAAACTCCGAAGAAGGTGTAATGTCGATTTGCGTCGGCGCTCTTCGAGCTCTTTCATGATGATGGACTTTGCTAGGAAGTACATGGAGTACCCGTGTGTGTGCTCAAACCCATAGAATGATCCCGTAGCAGCAAGAGTCAACAGCAACATGGGCGTCCTAAACTCCAGGCACGTTGTCGGAAGATGGATGAAAGGCAGGTGAGGGTGGAATCCACGGATCCAGCTGGATACATATCTCGATAAAGTATGCCGACCTGGAAGAGTGAAAGGTTCGGGCAATACGTCCATGTGTTTTGCGACTTCTGAGGTAAGCTTCTCATAAGCGACAGCGGATACGGCCCATGGGTTCGTTGGCGCGATGTCGTCGATGGCATCCAGCGACCCTGCAATTGGGTCTCGATCACTCTGCATGCGGGTGGCTGTCTCATGCGTTTGACTCGCAGTCTGAAGTTGACTCGCAAGATCCCGGCCCAAGCTCGCCATCGAATCATTCGGGGTGGCATCTGCTGATCCAGGAGCGCCAGCTGGATCTGGAGGGATGTCGGCATATGTGGGTGATGCATTCTCACTGACGCTTCCTTGATAGTCTATTGGGGTGAAAATACCCATGAGATAATTGTTGATCATATCCGTTTCGTTAAATGGAAAGTCCATATCAAACGACTGGAGCGGCACAAAATCAGCGCTTGGTTCTATTAGCAGTTCTTCGCTTGGCTGACTGGGAGCCATAATATTAGATGCTCGGGGGACGAAGCCAGGGCTATCCCCGGGGCCCTCCAAAATGGGATCACGTATAGAGAATTTTCCCATGAGCTGCTGCTGAGAGTACTCCGTGGCATTATTGCTTGAGACACTCCGTCTAGCTTCTGGATTTAGTGCCTGACTGGATATGCCAAAGTCAGGGCTTTGGAAAGGGAGCGAGGCTCCCGGCAGGGAGTCATCAAAGCAGGACGTTTGGTTCGGTTCATTGCCCGGCAACGATGGATGAACAATGATAGTTTCAATTGAGGAAGGCTGGCGGCTGGAATCTCCCTCCTGGCGCGCATGCGAACACTGGGAGAGTTGCCGATGGTGCTTGAGTAGGTCTCTGGGTAGAAATCAGTAAACAACCACGTAACTCCCACTCCGAGTGAGATGTGATGACATACTGTCTGGAGAACTTCCGGCCACATGGACATGCGAATGGTCGCTCGCGGGTGTCTGAAATATTGAGACTTCTTAGTATCAGATCGCCAAGTAGACGACAGACCTTGACTCACGGGTTCGGATATGACGCTCCAGATGTTCCTGTCGCTTGAACTCTTTGCCGCAGAACCTACATGGATCTACACGGAGCCGAGGCCGGCCTTTCATGGTGAATAGCTAGCAGGGGAGGCCGCCCGGGTGCGTAAGCGCATGAGGAAGACGCCGCATGGAAGACAGGCAGAGGGGCTGATGCAGGTCCGATGTGTAATTTTGTTGCGACGATTGCTGGAAGCACTGAATGAACCGATTCCACAGATAAGAAGTGTGGGGTTTCCATGGCAAAGGGAGATGGGATGATGGTCTGGACCCGGAAGACTGGAGACGACCGGCACAAGAGGAGCCTCACGTGACACCTGACACACGACCTTGATACGCTGTTTACCGAACATGAACTAGTCGCCATCATCTTCAAAGCCCGTGACAGTGTGATAAGAATCTTGGCTCAATTTCCCGGATTTATCGACTCCTTGCATGCATGAACAGACATTGCAAATTTAGGATTTGATTGATATTTGATTACTTCACTCCTCCCTCCTGGCCTTCACAATTACTGCCCCAGGACTTACAATACTTCCAGGCGGCTGGCTGATTTTCACTACTGTAGCACCAACCTGGTCATCACTAGCGACTATCTTGATTTCCATCTTCATAGCCTCTAAAATGGCAACAGTCTGTCCCTTTTCCAGAACATCACCTGGCTTTACCAAGACTTTCCAAACGTTGGCATCAATGGGAGATTCCACCAGTACGGTCTTCCCAGCAATAGCCTCGTCTTCAGCATTATCGCGACTGCTATTGGATTCTTTGGCTTCGATCCACTCGCGGAAAAGTTGCTTCTCAGTCTCTCCCAACTCCTGAGCAGCCGCATCTTGACGCTTCCGCCACGCCTGATACTTCGGATCTTGCGCTGCGGCATCAAACTTTGCAATGTGCTCGTCCATATCCAGCGTAATCTCCTCCATCTCAAACACGTACCGACCGGCTTGAAAGTCTCGCTCCGCCTTGTCGTATTCCTCCTCGGAGACCGCGTGGAACTTGATCAGGTCAAAGTGGTTAAACAGCCAGGGCTGCGTGGACGAGAAACCCGGGCGGTTGCCGGCGGCATCCCACCCGCCCAACGTGCGACCCATGAGCTGGTAACCCCCAGGCGCGGCAACGGGGTATATGGCTGCCAACGATCCTCCGATTCCGATGGAGCCGCTCGGTGTGTAGACCCTGCTGGGGTTGTACTTTTGACCTGTCAGGACGCGCCACGGATCGAGGGGGAACATTATTGGTGTTCCGACGTAGAAACCAACAGCGACGGTCAACCACGGCGTCTTTAAAAGAGAATCAAAGACGTCACTCCGCGATTCAAGGGCGTTGTTTTTCTGGAGGTACTCGACGTTGTCTGGCATGTAGGCCGCTGTGGGCCTGATGCTCTCCATATACCGCTGGGCGGACTCCTGGAGTGATGAATGGTCGAGGCAGACAGGCAGCCGTACTTGCCGAGCAGGTATTTTGATGCCGGTGATATCACCAACGGTCCCATCATACTCGATGAGGAGCTGTAGCAGCCTGCCCTGGTCCATCTGGAATGGATCGAAGCGTACAGTCAGGGACGAGAAATTAGCATCGCCGCGGACGCTGGGAAGGTTTGCCGTCGACAATTGCTTCCCCAAGAGTTGAACGCACACTGTGTTTCGCAGATCCGAGACTTGCTCGCCGTACTCTACGATGATATTGGTATCGCCTCCTTGGCGGTACGTAACCATTGGGTGGTTCCCTAATCGCGGGGTCTGATGTAGAATAGAAGATAACAAGCTGTGGTCGAGAGAGATGACAGGGGAGGGAACAGGAGAGGAGGCTCCTCCGATCAAGTTTCTCACTGCGTCAAGATACGCGTCTTTCCTCTTGACAATCTCAAGGGCGTCATCATGAGTCACACACTGGAACCGTACCGTGTTACCGGGCTTCAGTTGACCAACCTTCCACATCTCCCCGGAACAGATAGTTATCGGGCAGACGAAGCCGCCAAGGTCGGGACGGTCATGCGCAAAGATGATGGGCGATTCACCTGTGAAGTTGACACCGCCATTTGGATAGCCGTAGTCGAAGACATTGGATGGGTGTGATCCGCCGCCGCCGCCCGACGTCCGCGCCCACTTCAGCTGTGGCCCACCTAAGCGAACTCCGCTTCGACTGCTGTTGTGGCTGACGACCCAATCTGTGCCGTACAGAGAATCTCGCCCTTCGGGGGTGAGGATGTCATCAGAGCCGTACGGTCCATCCATGCAGTACAGTGTAGTGTAGCCAAAGGCTGGTATAGCTTCCGAGGACAGTGATGTTGGAGTTGCTTCGGCTGCCCAGGTTGCAGAGTCCGGTGACAGAGACAAAATATCGTTGATTTGAAGTTTCCGTCCTTGTATCCCTCCAAACCCAAGCTCGGGGGCTGTGGACTTGGACCCAAGGAACTCGGGAATTTGCGGGAAGCCACCCTTGACGGCGAGGTACGTTCGAATACCACTGCCAGTGATTTTGCCAAGTTTGAGTGACTGTCCCTTTGGAGTGATAATTCTGGACCACATGGGACAAGATTCACCACCCAGAGTAAGTGGTAGCTGAGCGCCGCAGACGGAGACAACGGCTGCCTCGTGGAATAGGAGCTCTGGCCCGACCAAGGTCACTTCTAAAACTTCCACTCCGGGATCATTCCCAACTAAAATGTTGGCAACGCGAGCACTAAGGTCGTCCATCGGACCACCAGGGGGGATCCCATGACCCACGGTGATGCGGCCTGGAAAGTCCTGGATTGTTGTATACACACCCGGATCGAGGACTTGCACAGAGCAGCTCTCGAATTTGAATGTTGCCAGAGAATTGGTCAGCGTTCTACCACTGACAAAGATGTCCGACTCGATGATTTTGGACAAGTACTCCAGGTTGGACTGTGTTCCCTGAATAGCCGTCTCTGCCAAGGCCCCAAGCATCTTCGCCTGGGCAGCTGGCCTACCATTAGGGCTGTGGACGATCAACTTGCCAATCAAGGGGTCGTATAAAGGTGTGATGCGCTGGCCGTTGCGGACCCAAGTGTCAACTCGCACCCCATCGCCCTCTGCCCACTTCAAGAACTGGCAGATTCCAGGGCTCGGCGCAAAGTCTCTGAGCGGCACCTCGGCATAGATCCGGGCCTCGATCGCTGATCCATGTGGTTTGGGTCTTCCAAGACCTCGCAAGACGTCAGAAGGAATTCCCAGCTGGCCTCCATGCTCATAGTCGGCTTGTTTGAGCATCAGGCGTACCAAATCAACATCGTAGCACATTTCAGTGATACCATGCTCAACCTGCAAGCGGGTGTTCATCTCCAGGAAAAAGAAGTCGGCAGTCTCATCATCAACCAGAAACTCGACGGTGCCCACGCTCTTGTATTTTAACTGTGACGCGTAGGTGACTGCTGCGTCAACCATCCTCTCGCGTAGGCCCGGATGCGCCTCCACAAACGGGCTGGGACACTCCTCGATCACCTTTTGATGTCGCCGCTGTAGTGAACACTCGCGCTCGCCAAAGGCCACGACAATATCTCCATTGCCTGCGACTTGGACTTCGATATGGCGGGAGCGCGGGTAGTATTTTTCCAGGAATACCCCGCTGTTCTTAAAGAGTGCACCAGCGCGGCTCTCAATCATGGAGAACGCCTTGTCAACTTGCTCTTTGTCCTCGCATATCTGCAACCCCATCCCACCGCCACCGCCAGTGGCTTTGAGCATCACGGGAAACCCTAGACTTTCGGCGGCTTCTGTAGCAGCTGCGGCGGACGCCAAAAGCTGGGTACCCGGTATCACGGGCACATTTGCGGCCTCGGCAATGGCTCTCGCCTCGTGCTTAAGACCCATCGCCTTGATAGATGCTGAGGAAGGCCCGACAAAGGTGATGCCGGCTGAGGCAGCTGCCTCTGCGAACTCGACATTCTCGCTCAAGAAGCCATATCCGGGGATGATGGCATCAGCTCCTATGCGTTTGCATATGCCCAGGATGGCATCTCTATTGGGATGAAACGCATGGTTAGCAGAGGTCAAAGATGCACCAGTAAGTAACGAGACACCACTCACCCGTCTGTATAAGCGGTACTGTCATCGCCCGGCAGCAAGACCGTCTCGTCGGCTAACGTGGCGTGGAGCGAGGTTGCGTCGGCATTTGTGATGATGGCAATGCTGTGGACTCCCAGCTCTCTACAAGCCTTGATACAACGGACGGCAATCTCGCCTCGATCAGCCACGAGGACCTTGCGAATGTATCGCAGCGAGTTTGGATTGGTCACCGTCATGAGGCTTGGAACTGATGGATTGTTTGATATTGGCAAGGGAGAGCGAGACAACAGCGCGAGGCGAGACGGACCGTCAAAGAAATATGCAAGACACAAGGACGCTGGAATGCATCTGGTCTGCCCACCGGGGTCGCATGGATCCAGGTTGTGTTGCTCTGGGGTGGCATGTTTGTCGTGCATGCGTTATCAAAACTGGGGAAGCTGGTGGCTGGTCCCGGGGTTAATTACCCCAGAACAGGCAACCAGAAGAGGAAGTGCCTCATATCACAGGGGAGGACACTATTCTTGATTCCGTAATTACTTGGGGTAGAAAATCATAGCCACAAGCTGGTTCAAGGGTATTTTCCACAAAGCGAGTCAGAGTTCGAGATTATGTCTTTCCATGTTTAAGTTCATTGAATGGGACTGCATGGAAAGGATTATCACCGGGACAAGCATGTACATTAACATTACGGCAAGAAATATACATATGAGACGAGATGCACTGAAAGCTGAACGCATGATCATCTGATTGGCAAGGCTCTTGCCGGGAGCTCTAAGCCCTGTTATGATGGAAAGACTCATAGCTAGCCAAAGAATGCTCAACGGCTCGCTGGATACAAAACGGCAGCAATATATACTGACAAGCACAGTAATTAATACTGTCACTTCTATCGAGGCACGTAGATGCAGGGAGTGGATAGAAATCTTCCCCATCCCATTGCTCACCGATATTCATAACTGAAAATGCTACTATGCTCTGAACGTGTTTGGATAAATTAAATATAAAGCGATCTTACGCGGCTACTTCTGTCTATGGCTAATTTAAGTATCATTCATCATCATCATGTAGCCGTATTAGCAACATTAAAGCTATTAGTGTATGACGATATCAAGCCTCGACAACCCCTTCCATCATATCTCCTTCGACAGTCAATTGAATATTGGCGGTGAATATCAATGGGCGGTAGCACCATACTTTTCAGCCAGTCTCCAATATGAAGGTGCGGTAGAGCGCCTCAAGGGTTTGCCAACATATATCATCACAATGGCAGTGCACCAAACCGCCAAGCCCAAGATGGCGATCAAGACAAATGCATATCGAAGGCTGAGACTTTCGATCATTGGAACGACGGCATATCCAAAAGCAAAACCTGACCGAATGAGTTAGCTAACGGTATCCCCGGGGGTTGTGAAAGAAACATACCCATCATGTTACGAATTAGAATGGCCGACACCAGACCCTCTCCAGCAACCTCCTTGTAGCTGTCGAGAATATATGTGAATGCGAGGTTGGAGCCCATGGGAAGAGTAATGGAAATAAGACCAAGGCCAAACACCACCCCAAACCAATGGATGTGGTATGATGCTCCCACTCCATACAGAAGACAGCCAGCTGGGTGCATAACCAAAGCCACGAGACATGTCCACAGTCGCTGCTCAGGCTCCATGACTCCGTTGTTTCTGCGGGCGATACGAAGCGCAAGGGCATCTGACGCCCAGCCGGAAAGAAAGCACCCAATGGTGACCCCGACGACCGAGGCAAGATAAGTCAAGCCAATATTATTAGCACTAAAGTTGTACGGTGGGTTGCCGAGGATCAAGGCTAACGAACCACCGACAACATTGTACCAGGCCAGAATGCCACCGACGAGCAGGCCGCCGAAGCCCATTCCCGGGAACATGAATAGGAGGCGAATTGGTAGGAAGAAAACTTTGAATGCACTAGGCTGTCGTGGGTCGTGGTAGCCCCAAAGCTTGAGCTTTTCGAGGTAGGTCTTGGTGCTTTCCATAGCCGGGGCATCGATAGAGTGTGAGGCAGAGTCTTGGCCTTTGTCTGTGGTTGTCTCGCCATTTGTCTTCTCAGAAACGACTGTGGAATCTCCTTCCGTCGCTCCTGGGGTATCCTTGACGTTGACCGCGTTCACACTAGTGGGATCGGGAAGCCCTTCAATGCTATGGTCACGATAGAACATAGTCTCCTCGAAAAAGAAGAAAGTCATGACTGTGACGCCAGCGCCGATGAAGGCCAGTATGTACTGGATCCATCGCCATCCAAGTTCCTGTGCAACATAGCCAGATGCTACAGGTGCCAAGAATGCACCGCACCAAAGGGTCCAGCTGTATGCACCCATATAGAAGCCTCGATCGTGGGCGAAGAAGATATCACCGATGATGACTTCAATCAGCGTTTCTTGTGGGGAGGCAACGATGCCGAGGAGAACACGGTTGGCGAAGAATTCACCTCTCGACTTCACGTACGCGGTCCAAACGGTCACGGCAGTCGATAAAACGGCGGAGATTATGAGTGTAAGACGTCGGCCGTAGTGGAGAGCGAGGGTTTGCGAAATCATAGTGCCCCAGCCGAGTAGGAGGAAGAGGATGCCGTTTCCAGTGCTCAGGTCGGCAATGGAGATTCCCGTGTCCTGCTCGATCAAGAGGTAGGCAGGGGACAAGCCAGAGATCATGGCGGCGACAAAGAAACACCATATCATAGCCACAATGATGTTTCTTGTCTTGCGCGGGACTGTCCAGCGCAGAGGGTCATCGGGGTCATTGGTAGGCTGGGGAACGAGCACAATGTCTCGAGATTGTTGGCCATGTTCGACATTGAAGATGCCCTGAACATCGACCAACTGCACAGTCCCAGGAACGGGCACTTGATTCGCCATTGCGAGGAGGATAGGGTTTGGGCTTTGTAGGCCGCAATGTAAGAATTCAATTGGAATCAAACAAAGTTGAATAAGTAAGGCCCTGAGGACCAAAGATTGCAAGACAATGACTCAATGTTGTATCAATGTTGTACATCAGGGTACTGTCAAGGGAGCGTGTTTACTTTTGTACTTGCTACCAGGGTCCCTGCGAGAAAGCTTGCCACACGCGAGGATGATAACAAGCCATTTTTACCCCAGTGTGTCACGCTCAGCCTCCAGGATTCTTATCTCTTGGGTGGTGCGAGACTTGTTTGATACAGTAAAGCGCCATATCCACCCCACATTGATAACATCAGGCAGATGCCGGTTCTCGACCGCAATCTACTTGCCGATGCGTTACAGGGGAATACGATTCACTTCACTTCAATAGTTTTGGGTTCCGTTTCAATATCATAACACTCGAGTTACCGGTCCCATTGTAGAGTTTTAGTACCTGGGCATCCAAACCGGCATCAGGGTCTGTACAATTACAGAACTCAAATAGTTCAAGTCCAATTGATTTTCGAATGCATTTTCAGTTATAGATTATAATTGGTCGACTTCTTTATTCGCTGGTTGGTTGAAATTTTTAACAACACCAATCAGACTACCAGATGTAGATAACATATTACTTCTCATACATCCCGCAATGTTTTGTGCTATGAGAGTGCCCCGTAGCCTCTCTTGCTATCCCGTTTGCCTAATTGGCTTATACCGAAGGAAATTTGGCCCGGTTAGCCTCATCTACTACCTTGCGAACTGCCCTGGCGTTCTCAAGCACGGTGGGAACATCCGAGTGTAGGCATATGCTGAATGGTTTTCCCTTGAAGCCAAAACTAAACTCAGAGCCGTTCATGTCAAGTCCATTGTCAGTCATTGTCGCACCGAGAGCGCGTGTACGACACAACTCTGGGTTGACTTGCTGAGACTGCGACACGGGAACAAGCTTCCCTTCCGGAGAGTAGTCGACATCGACATACACTTCGCCTTGGAATGGAATGCCCATCTCCCCGCACATGGCCTCTTGCTCCGGGTTCTGGCACGCATAAACGGGAACTTTGAAAATAGCACACGCGTCAAGGACAGCTTTCATGATCGCCTTGTCCCGCTGCATATAGAAGAACAGCTCGCCGTGCGGCTTAATGTGCGACAGTTCGACGCCCTCGGCATCCAGCATAGCTTTCAACGCACCGACTTGGTACAGAATCATAGCATACATGTCTCCCGTGTCAACCTCGATCTTTCTCCGACCAAAACCAAAAAGATCTTGCAGGCCGGGGTGGGCACCCGCCTTGACGCCATGCTTTTTACACAGGCGAATCGTCTTGAGCATGATGGAAGGATCACCTGCGTGAAAGCCGCAGGCGATGTTTGCAGCATCAATCAACGGCATGAGCTCCTCATCAGGTCCCTAGACGTGGGTGTGAGCGATCAACAAACAGGCGGGCAAAAAATGTTGCTGGACCTACCATTTTCCATCGGCCGAAGCCTTCGCCCATATCGGCATTGATCTCATACTTGCGAGCCAGGCCAGGCGCCATCGTACGTTGAGATGAAAAAGAGTGAATCCCACGTCGAAAACCACGAAAGCGAATGCGTGGAGTGAAGATGCGCGACGAAAACATGAGATTCAGCATTGAAGGCATCTCCCTCGGTCGTTCAGTGTCGAGTGACATCAAACATAACTCGGCCCCTCATTGCAACCCAACCAAAATTATTAATTTAATTGGATTCTTATCTCGAAGGCCAATCCCGGTATTGCTGCCGGTCGCCAGCCGGTGTAGCAACATGATGTGCATGTTTATCAGACTCAGGAGGAAATTGGCCAGTTACGGAAATGGGGTAGAAAAGGGAAATTACTATAACGGGAAATGTGCGGGGGAGCACGGGAACATGTGCTTGGGCGAACGGTTCCTACTGACTCGCCCTCAATCTTACCCTGGTTTGCGAGAAGCAGTCTGAGAAATGCTGTCGGAGAAGAACAGGGGAAATCCAAGAAAATGGACGAAGAACATGAACCCACTCCCAAAGTTGGTGGTGAGGGAGATTTCCGAGGGAACTGACTGCCAAGTATTCACTCGTCAACATATATGGAGGCCAAGTGGCGATCACTACCGACATTCTGATCAAGTCCCACCTTCATTTCCACCCTAGAAAGATGATTCTGAGGCCTACTTTGATTGAATGGGCTACAAAGCGCGGTCAATCGACGTTGAAATAAGGAAGCCTTGAGTTGGATGAAGTAGATGTAGGGTAAGCCGGAACTGAGGTCCAGCTCTAGAGCAAGTAAAATAAGGCATCATAAGTCCATATTAGCCCACGGTTTACTATAATAAAATTATAAAGGAACTGGGAGATACATAACCTACACATCAGAATTCAAGAGTCACCATTATTGCGATGGTCCAGCCAAGATGGGGCAGATGTGAGAGAGTCGGTATCAGACTGTAACTTGCGTTTTGCTGATACCCAGAGCCATCCTATAGACAATTGGAATTAAGCCTGATATTCCCCATTATTCAAAGTATCACCTAAACACTTCCTCTCCCAGTCTCGCCTAATAAATGACGTGAGTAGCAAGGCGAGTATGGGTAGCATTGTATCTACAATCCCTCACCCTCTTCGCGGTGAAGCTTTTATCGTGTTGTTCTATCTAAACTGGATCAAATCTTCTGTTCATGACGGCCAAGTCATCTGTCATAGTAGCTGCGATAATTTCCGCGGCATTATTCTCGGCTTATGAGGAACGATTCTCCAGCTCGGAAGTATACGTATGATTGGTCTGTTCCGTGCGCTTCAATAGCTCGTACTTTCGGTGGGAACGTCTTCGACTCAAAATTTATGTAGGTGACTACACTTTCGTTTCTATTTACCCTGCGCTATGATGCTGGCAATTGTCGCAGTGAACCTTGCATTGTGGCTATAAACGTCGCCGGAAGAAGCATCGTGGTAGCCTGACTGAATCGCCACCACAGTCTGCAGCTCAGGAATGATAATGAGGGATTGGCCATACATTCCAGTGCCGCCAAATGCTTTTAGCTCCGCGAGTTGAGACAAGTGACCTTCTCTGGCCGGCACCCACCAGCCGGTTTCGTACCCAAAATCTGATACCATACCGTTTACGCCCGGAGCCCTTGGCCCAGTGCTGGTCCGACCTTCAGAGATCTCTTGGAACCACCCTTTAGGGACGCTAGGACCGGCCCCTTCGGTCTTGAAGTCTTCTAGGATGAACGATCCAAACCTAGCCATATCGGACAACGTAATGGATAAACCACCGTGCCCGTCTGCTCTCCCAGCCGCAGTGGTTCTCAGGTATCCGTCATACTGCATACCCGCGGGATCCCAGATCTTCCGGGATAGGTAATCCTCCAGGGGCTCACCGACGGCTCGAGAAATCGCCGTTGACAGTGCATAGTAATTCGGGTTGTAGTAATGAAATTCCTCCCACGGCTCAGCCACCTTTCTAAAGGTCTTGAACCACTCAAGAACGGCGCCGGGATCTTGCGATGGATAGAGATGGGTAGCATAATATGGATTTGGAATGTCGGCAGGTCGAGGGTCGTCTGATTGCTCAACGACGCCTGAAGACATGCTGAGTAGAGCCCGAAGGGGAACGTCGGCCCATGCAGTGTCTCTTAACTCCTCCACGTAGCGGGACACGGGATCGTTGACTGAAAGTTTACCTTCTTGCTGGGCGATGGCCATCAATGTTGACACGAACGACTTGGTGATGGATTGGATGTCGTTGCGAGATGCGGGGGTGTTACCGTGTCGGTACTCCTCTAGTCGTATAGCCCCATCTTGGACGACGATGCATCCTGTCAATCCATACTCGCTCATGAAGTCATCCAGGTTAGTTCCGGCCTCGCTTATGGCCTTTCCTAGGTTACGGGCTGGATCTTTTGTGAACCGCCTGAGATATGACCCGTGCCGGACCTGCACAGTTCTGTTATGGAAGGTCTCCTCGCGTAATCTATAGAGTAGCGGTGTAAAGGCTGGATCGTCGGGGATAAGAGATGACAACTGAAAGGTTCCGATCTTGGAGGTGAGTTTTGAAGAATCCTCATTTTGAAGCGGGGCCAAGGATGCGTTGGCATCATCACTCTTCTCAGTTGGTGACATTTTTGTTTATTCGATGATGAGTTGCGAATTGCAAGGTGCTCGTTGATGTGTTTACAGATTTCCAGGGCCTCGAGGGATTTTCCCCTTTTATCTCCTCAGCGGATATAACCCGAAGCGTACGAACCCCTGCGGGTAGTTAGCCGAATTTTGGTGCATTTTGCCATGACTCATTGAGCACAAAATGTGATCAGAGTAGGAAATGAAGCAACACATATCGTAATCGAAGGTAACCATCTCTTTATTTACAAGACTCAGCTCCATATTGTAGGTTGCAAGGCAAGGCGGTTTGCTCCCTGTTCAAACTGCACATCTTGTGGGGGCATTTCCCACATTGCCTCCAGCTCAGTCCACTTATGCGTCGGGAGCGAGCCCGAATGGCCAAAGCTGTAATCAACGTCTGCAACGCTTGGACGTATCTTGCATCTTAGCATTTAGCTTGCCAGGGGAAATAAACGTCTAGGTTGTCTTTGCTATGGTCGAAGCTCTAAAACATCCATCAAGTGCGACCGTCTAGGTGCAGGCTTTGTTGAAAATGGGATCGCTGCTTACCCCTCCCTGAGTAAACATCTACTTTCTTATCATGGTGCGAATATTAACACGTAACAATTACTAGCCTTCATCTCAGACATAAATGGCTATTGTCCGCCTACAAACAATGGGGAGAAATGTCCTTGCATGAATCTTACGGTTGGATGTAAGTTTTCGGTGAACACAGCCAGGATCTTACATCATACTGGCCCAAGGATTGGCATACTTGGACATGAGACATATCCACCTCAGCACAAGACTGGACGCTAGGTGCAGGTGATCAGTCAAGATTCCTGTGTCTTCTCTGCGCGTCGAAATGCAGTCACATCTGAACATGAGGCGACCTCGGAGAGTATCGTACGATTGGGGCAATACAATTTGAGAGTCGGAGAGGCCGGTCTCGGGCATTTTCACAAATGTTATTACCTAGAAAACGCCATCGTAACACAAAAGCGAGGACGGACAGTAGTGCTTCGTGCTGGTTCGCCAAGTTGACGAGGCGGTCAAAGAGGCGTTCAGCCCGCCACTCCCAGCCCCTCTTCCCCTCGTCGGGAGATTCTAGATCTTGCGCCATCCATGGGGAGCGGGGATATCCGGCTTCCTATGAATAACTACTGGCAATAGTTTCCATTAAAGCCAGCCTCCAGTCTAGGTATCGTCAGCAAGCGGGGTGTCCTTGCTCTTTTGCCGACACATGTGTGGGAATATTAGTGATCGCTGGCATAAATCCTGGGACTTGGGGATGTCACATATGATATACGTAATGCTGAAAGTTTCCTGGACAAGACAATGCCAATCTGTTGAAAGCGTACAGCAATGTGAGACAAAAAGGGGGGCACATGGCGAGACGTTACCAATCACAGAGTTTCCATGCATTGGATCAGCAAAAATAAAATAGGCAGCCACCACATGCTTCTTGCCAAGCTTCCATGTCTCATTTGACCAGCTTGTAATTTGGGGCGTTGTTACGAGCTGAGCTGGATAATATGCCCTCTTTTGACCGTGTCTCTGTTTCATAGCTTCTAGGGCAGGAATAAAAAACCCCATGCCCTTTTGATCAAATAAAATGGACCATAAACAGCTTCTATAGGTAACTTTTGGAAATGTGCTCAACTGTATGTCCGCGGAGATCCACTGAGCAAATATCACAAGCCACCAAACACACACCGGGTATGGTGCACTGCCCATCATTATGAATGAGAAGTGACACAAAGTTGAAGAGCTTGGGCCATTTAAGACTTGTCACATCCTTTCTCTTGTCTCTTATCTCATTCCGAGAGACCGACCGCTGCTTACGCACTCGAGAACACAGCTACTATGAAAGCGGTTTGCTGTGCATGCCAAGAAGTCATTATTGCGCTCAGGGCTATACGCCAGCTAGGCAGCTAGAGCTAGACTCGAACTCTAATCCCATTAGTATTGGCCTTGAGTGGGCGAATGTAGACGGGTTACTCTTGTGGGATGGTCCGCTTGGGAATTGATTGGCATCCGTGGTACCACCTACCGGGTGGAATTTCGAACTAGATGGCTTCCTTTGAGAGATATCATCTATCATTTTGTAATTTTGATCAGCCATTGGGTAAACTGCGCTCACATGATGGTACTCGAATGTGTTGAGTCCGTGTCGACACTCATATAACCCACAAACGTGCATGCGCAACACGGATTCGTTGAAGAGATAACAAGCGCCATCTTCTCTCTCGGAAGCATAAATAGATCCCCAAGGTGCTTGGAGTTGAATTTGAACACAATCTCAATAAGTTCTTCCCAGTTAACGAGCTCCCACCGTTGGATGCAGCGTCTTTCGACTGTAGTTGCTTCCGTTATCAACTGATAACACGCCCCCCTCTATCTTCTACCACAATTTTGCGTCCCTAAAACATTTACCAGACTAAAATCGGTTGTTCACGTCGCCATGGAGTTGACTTCCCCGCATGCCCCTGGAAATGAGCCTACCTGGCGAGACTTGAACGCCCTACATCAGACTGAAGACGATGAAGCGCCATCACTCAGCCTGGACTTAACCCACCCCTCAACGAAATCCATTGTTCTATCGCCCATACTCATTATCTTCGTTCTAGCCTTTTCACTTTTGCTCACTCTCTTCATTCGAAAAAGGGGGTTGCTGTTCTGTCACAACTCCCTTGTCGAGAAGACCTGTTGGCGTGACACGGTCGAGAAGAAGCTGGCGGCTGACAAAGAGAAGATACCCAAACACTGGCGCCTGAAGCCTGAAGTCATCACATGGGCAAAAGCACAGCCTAAAATCTCAGGGGAGGTGATCGAGAACCTGCTTGATGACGAGACAAGGCGCATCACAAACATGAATCCGCGGGAGCTCATTGGCCAAATGTCCCAGGGCAAGCTGACTGCTGTCCAAGTGGTGTCTGCATTTTGCAAACGCGCAGCTTACAGTCATCAGATCGTAAGTACCTGCGAGAGGCCACTCTTCTACCCCTGTACACATGCGTAGCATAATACTAACTGATAATGATGTAGTGTGATCTGCTCTTGGAGATTGGTTTCGACCTGGCGTTGAGCCATGCCAGAGAATGTGACGAATATTTCAAAAAGCACGGAAAACTAATCGGAGAGTTGCATGGACTTCCATTCACGATGAAAGATCAATTCCACATTGAAGGGATGCCTACTAGTGCCGGCTACATAGGATGGATCGGCACCTTTGAAGGCAAACCAGATTCCGAAAAGTACATGAAATTTGAGAGTTTGCTTGTTGAACAACTTAAGTCGTTGGGGGCTATCGCTATCGGCAAGGTAAGTCTTGATCAAAATGACATAACAGTTTCACCCCACACTGATGAGAAGTTAGACCACACTCGCAACTGGAACTTGGGTGAGTCAAAACCCACTAGTGTGTCCTAACCTTATAGTTCCTCAAACATTCTAACGAGGGTTTTAGTCCGCTGTTAACAACAATAACATTCTTGGGTACGCTGTCAACCCGCACAACCGGAACTTATCAACAGGTGGATCTTCAGGAGGTACGAAAACTATATTGAATATTTATAATACTGCGATAGGTCTAACATCAGAACTTTAAAGGTGAAGCTGCAATGCAGGCGTTGAGGGGAAGTTGTTTCGGTTTCGGAACTGACATCGGGGGCTCAGTGTCTATACCAGCGGCCTACCAGGGAGTCTACAGTCTGAAGCCGTCTACTGGTCGCATCTCCTTTCAGGGTGGTGTCAAAATAGTATGTCCTTTGGAACCTCGATAGGCGCGCAAGCTGACCAGATCAGAGCTCTGGACAGGCAGCAATGCCGGCTGTTGTAGGCATCATGGGCCCCTCTCTCGACCTTCTCCAATCGGTCTTCAAATCAACACTATCCACCAGCCCATGGATTCGCGACCAGGCCGTGACCAGGATGCCGTGGCAAGGTTTGTATGACGGTCAATCGCCAATGCGCGCTGACCTTGCATTTGGATTCCTTGAAAATGATGGGATCGTTACTCCACATCCTCCTGTTGCGAGAGCGATGAGGATTGTAAAGAAAGCGATGGAAATGGCCGAAATTGAACTTGTTGGCTGGGACCCCCCTAGTAACAGTGAAGTGTCCGCTATCCATGTGAGCAACAAGTCCTTTTGTTACCACGAAATACTACTGTATCCGCAGCTAACAATGATACCCAAGGGCGCTCTCGCTCGTGGCGATGGGTGCTTAGATGTTTGGCAAGCCCTGGAGCTATCTGGTGAGCCTTTGACACTGGAATTAGAACGTACGTTCCCAGACAGGAGGGCTTTGCCTCCGATTTCTGTTGTCGACTACCAATCGTTTGTGGTTCGGATGATTGCTTTTCGGGAAAGGTGGAACGATTATTGGGAATCTTCATTCGAAAGAACGAAGAATGGTACGTCTCCTAATTCCCTGACAGTCAATGCGATGGATCAAAGCTTGAATTAACACTCCAATCAAAGGTCATCCAGTTGAAGCGATAATAGCACCAGTAACACCGCACGCTGGAATCAAAAGAATTCAAACCAAATACTCTAGTGAGAAATCGGTTATCCCGTTGCCTTGTTTGAACTTCATGCTTATTCTTCCGGGCTCAGCGTACGCAACTTCATTGAATGTTCTGGATTATCCCGGTATTGGGATCCCAATCACTTTTGCAGATCAACACGTCGACGAGATTGATCCAAAATTCAAGCCTCTCACATCAAAGGACGCGGATGTAATGCGGACGTGTAAGATCCTTACCTCACCCAAGAGTCATGCCGAATGCTAAACATGATGTAGATGACCCTGGAGAGTTCCATGGCTCTCCTATCAGCATACAGTTGATCGGAAGGAGGCAAGACGAGGAGAGGCTGTTCGCGATGGCAAAAATCGTGCAGGATGCTGTTGATAATCTGAAACGCTCTGGAGTCGATTTTCTCCATTGCTAGTGTTCAATGGAGCCTTTTCGGCTTGGGGAAGGGGAAACTAGGGTCATGTCGTTGGGTAGAAAATCGTTCTAGGTTTCGGTCAGGCATGGTCGGCTGTTCAGTTGTGAGAGAACCGCCGCTCCAGCAGTTTGCGAGTGGGCGGCTAGGGGCAACAGTTCCTTTCTTTTTTGCTTTCTTTCTTAAATTCACGTTTCCGCTTGGACCTCTTTTTCATCCATGGCGCCGTAAACCAGTTTCCAAGCCAAGCCATTCTTCCAAACTCCCCCATTGTCTTCCCCTTTTCATATGATAGGTTGTAGCTTCGAACAAGACTAGCGATCGTCCCTGAAGACGTCATTCGATTCGAATAAAGTTGGTCAAGTTGGTAAAGCTACGTAGCTTGCGCAGTGAGACTCACCGGTCAATGAAGAGTGCACGATTCGGGTGAGATACATAGATTGAGCTGCAGCCTCTCCACTTCTATTGCGGCGAGTTCAAGTTGTCTCGTTTCTTATTCGATGCTTCGTAATAGAACAGGATTGCATAAACTGACTAATACGAAACCGCTGTGTACGATCTCTCAGCGAGTACTTTTGCTGCATGTCAGATGCGGAACCGGTGATTGTGGCCCAATCTAGTCAAGTATAATCAGCCAAGAATTTGCTCAGCGAACCGGTAGGCAGATAATTCGGTCGGTAAGATGCAAGCCTAGACATTTTGGTTGCTAGGTTATTCTTAGATTGGCGCTTGGGTGACTCCCGCCGAGGAAGAGTCAACGTTGATCGTGTGGCTATAGCTGGCTTATGGTGTAGTGAGATCTCATAGAATAGAGGCAGTTTTTACCATAAAAGGAGGGGAAATCCCGTTGCCGTACACTTCTCTCCAATTCGGCTGCTCTGTCCACGGAAAGTAAAACAAAAAGTCAAACCAGCAAGAACACAAGAACACAAGAACAATGACAAGCGGCGGCACACCCAACACATATACTTCCCTGATCGCCGCAAACGGTAAGAACTCCCCGGGGTCAGAGCCTTAAAAGTAAGCACTGAACTTATTGCCGAGGACACAGGATCATTTGATCCAGGTGCGTTTCATTATGAACCGACCAACAAGCCTGCACAGCCTGCCGAGAGCGGAGACGGAAAAAGCCGAACTCCTCTCATCAAACTTACAACTGACAATATGCAAATTCGGCCCAAGAAAACCTAAAGTAGCAACGAATAAAACTCGCCGGTTGGCTCCTGGACTGGTTCTAGAACCAGTTATGCCGATCGGTTGCTGCACACTCCCTACACATTTGCCACTTGTGGGACGTTTAGCAGTTTGTTTTATCATGAAGTCTCTCCACCTGATGGAAACCCGGTACTCGCACAATTCGGATAACAGAGCCACAAGGTTGACCGCGGCCATTGAGAATGGTGACACTGCCTGGCTTACCGAATGCCTGCCCACCGCTCGTCCGCCAAGAATGTTGCATTGCTCATCATTGAGCCACGCCGCACACTAGAAATGAGTATTATTAGTGGCACACGGGTGAGCTGGAGTTGTCTGCAACCTCATTGGTTGATGCTGAAATGAGCAAGTTTCGATTGCAGGAGTTGTGAGACATGCCTCGGGGCTACTGGGCATTGATGCATTAGCTTTCATGTACACGTCGCCATTTTCAGATGCAATTGCACTTTTGTCACACAATACGAGACTCTACTGGCTACTATTTGTCCACGTGTTCTGAAAACTTGCCACACACCTGAGGAGCTCGTCTCTCACCGTTTGCGTGCAGCAGCTGAAGCTCAGCCGTAACGCCATGTCCGCCAATCATGGCCTCGAGCGGGGTAATCAGTCAATGTGATAAATGACTGTCCAGTAGGTTCAAAGCAATTACAGGCGGAGAGATAGAGGTTACGGTGCTGGCGGCATTGGTTTCTCCCGCTTACCTCCTTTATCGTTGTTGCACATTAGTCAGTTGGGTATGGCTACGCATGTATGTATATTGCGAAGTATACCCCGTAAAGTAAGGCATTAAGCAAACCAAAAACCTTGCTTCCAAGAGAGCCCACAAGCCCTGTCGCCTCCACGATGAACGTGACGGGTGACGACCAGGCTCTCCCCGCCGAGGGGCGGGCCGAAGACTTACCAGCCAAGCGGCTGCCCACTTACACGAATGGGCAGGGTTCCGGAAGCACTGATGACACCCAAAGTTCTGATGCGTCATGGGTCGATGTTGCCCGAGAACCCCCCTCAGCACTCGGCGAGGAGGGCAGTCGTTTCCCATCCACGGCAACGCCCTGGCCAGTTTCCATAGGCCCCACTCGTCCAGTCAATCTTCTCCCTAGGGTACATATGTTAACATGTAACTGAACGAACTTTCATTGGATGCTGACATGAGGGATAGCGTAAACGTGGTCCACAGGGCAAGCGTGACAAACGAAAATCGCGACCCAGTAAGCATGAGAACGGGGAGCCACATGACTTGGACGCTTATGGATGAGACAGAAACGAAAACTCCCAATCCTTGCTTCTATTGTCGCCGAGCAAAAAAAGGTGTATGTGTGCTGCTAACTCACCGTTGTGTCTCATATAGCGGACTAATCAATACCACAGTGCGATGACGGGCTTATCTGCCAGCCTTGTCTAGGCCGCCTGACTCCACTCGGAGCTGTTTGTCTTCGTTACGAGGTATCTGATGCCGCTCTCTATCGCCTGCAGAAGCAACCGGCTCAGAGATCGAGCCGACGGTGGGCAACGATGGAAATGGTCGACCTTGATGCCAAGGACTGGGCATCGAGTGACATAGTGACCATCTACGTCACTCAAACCATTTTACATGCTCCGATTGAACTAAGAATGCGAAAGTACATCCCAAATAGTACAGATGTCACTTTCAGATCGTGGTGGGACGGTTCAGAAATGAAGAGATACGACATGCCGCCATATGCCATCGCTAATTTGGCAGAAGCAACTCAGTCATATCGCACCATCATGGACCAGTATGTGAAGGCATTTGTCGAGGCTACAATAGGTTACCGTGACGTATTGATACAGACGACATACTATGCCGCACTCTGGCATGCGGAACACACACAGGTATGTCAAGGGACCGCCTTAAAGCCTGTTGCTAATTAGTATCATTCGCAGGACCTCAAGGAGAAAGAATTTCTGATAACAATATTTCGATTCTGGGTCGCATGTCGCATCACCTCCAATCCGTCGCAAATTATCGGCGAGGAGACGCTTGGGCTAGATCCCATCAACGACAGAAGTTCCAAGATGCACGGCAAGGTGCCACTCCCCCCTATTATCACACCCCAGGAGCAGGTCATCATTTATTCCGGATTTCTCATTCCTCTGAGCCAAAAAATCGTTTATCTGCTTGGGCAGTTCCTCAAGGACACGAATCCCAAGGTCCGGTATACATCTTACTTGGGGCTGTTCATGATTCTTCACAGCTGTTCCATGCTCACGAGAAGGAACAAGGAATATGCTAGACAGATCAACCACAACGTGAGAAAATGGATCCAACCATTGGCTAGCCTGAGAAAAGCTAACAGTAAACTTTGTACAGGGCGAATACGTAAATCCGGATAGCATTTCCGCCTTACTCTCGGGTGCCATTACCATGTTAGCACACTTCCATGCTAACCATGGGACTCACCTCTTTAATCCAGCGACATCGAGATGTTTAAACCCAGGCCAAATCGAAGTTCTGGCTAAAACCAGCAGATTGGCTAAAGCGAAAAGTACATCTTCCTCACCTTGTATTCTGAACCATACTAATAAGCTCCTCACTCAGCTCGGGTATTTGCTACCATACGAAAGGAGCGAATGGTCTGGGATGATTTCTACTGGGTTTCACAGCTGTATGAAACTAGATGGGAGCCAGACAAGCAGCCTTGACGTAACAATGTTGCCAAAGAATTGCACTTCATATTGACTATCCTAGCCTTCGGTCATTCATTCTATGAAGCTAGATAGAAACTAATAACAAGTAACGATCGTTGTTGATTTAAGAGACAAGGGAATGTGAGAAAGAACATAAAAGGAAATGGCTATAACAAGTACTTCCAAGTGAATATTCAGTCACAAGACTCTGCAGTGCGCAAGATGCGCCCACCCTCCCTCACAGGGCTCATGTCCCAATGGGCCTCACGTTCCATATCCTCAAAAATGCGGGCCCAGGCAATCCTGAGAGTTCTGGGAAGCCTCCAGCACTGCTTAGGATTGTGCAACCACAGTCGCATGAGGTGTCTTTTCGACTGATCGTCGTCGAAGAACGTCTCTCTGCGATGGAGCAAGCCCATGTTGTTGAGGAAACGAATGTCTCCCTGTTGCATGGTTGTCTTAATCTCATGCTCCCTAGCAATGGCATGAATTGCATCAAGCGCCTCAGCCTGGGCCTCGGTAAGGCCTGGGATCCCCGGAGATCGTTCATAATGCGGATGGCCACAGAGTTGGCGACGAGAAACGTTCATGATTATCTTCCCGTCCTGGAAGTACAGGATAGGTCGGTTGACATATGGCGGGTCACGACCGGATCTGCTTGCAAGATCAGTCTCCCCGTATTCAACACTGGAGAAAGTTATCTTACGTATCAAAAGGCCAGTTTGGCTGCATCATGGTGTGGATCAAATCTGGCCGCGTTGCTGCCAGAATATTGTAGACATTCCAAGCTGAAGAGATGAGGCTTCTCCCTCCACTTGCCGCACATGCCTTGGTAAGCAAGCACAGCGTGTCGCAACTTGTATCGGTATGATATGGCTAAACATGAATTAGACATCCTATTCTAATCTATTAGGGGGCCAAAATACCTTCTCAACGAGCTTGTTGTGAACTGCGTCTTCGTCATCTCGGCTGAGCACATGCACTAAAACCAAGTTAGCATGAGGACAGAAAGAAACAAAGTCTGGGAGGCATACTGATCATTGAACCACGCTGATCTTGCTTGCCGCGCACGCCGGCGACATAGCTAGTCACGCCGAGGTACACCACGGTCAACTGCTCGGCAGAGAGACTGTCAATGTTCAGCCCACGCAATATCGCCAAACCTCGGCCGTGGTAAATCTCATCTTGGATCTTCTGCAGACGATGCTGGAGGGTTGGAAGCGGAAAGAGTTCTGGTGTAACTTTCTCCGGCTTAATGCCAAGTTCTACAATATGTCAGCATAATAACTGGTAAGTCCGAGAGACTCAAGCCCACTAGAAAAACTCGCAAGAGCATTGGCTATTTCCTGGCTCTCTTCAGCAGAGAGCATGTATATGAACTGGGTCTCATCAGGAAAGTCTTTCCCTGACCAGGCGAGAGGGCCGTGGACGGCAGCAGGCCATCCTTTGGGCAGGGTCTTTGTGAGCTTTTCAGTTGCAACTCTCGCGAGAGAGCGCTTTTGGTAAGCGATTTGATCAAACTCGTAGTCAAGCTCAGCATATCTGGTGTTCTTGGTTGTCGCAGGGGGTTGTGAAGCGTGGAGAAGAAATCTTTCCCTGATACCAGAGGAGTAATAGGGGGTCACTAAAGTGTTTGTCACCATGGTTATTATCAGAGAAGGCAAAAGTGTAGAGACAATAACAGTGTAGTGAAACCAAGAGTGCAGGGAAGGCAAGAGTGCATAGAAGGCAAGATTGGGTGTAGTGATGTGTTTACTCAGAGCGTGATAAGGAATAGTGGAAGTTGGAGGTGACTTTTATATTTTTTTTTGCTATGGATTCTTTCAAGAGAGCTCATACGATAGGCAGACACCAATTTCCTATCAACATTTACTATTGCCTTGAGTCTGGCGGTTATTGTGAGTAGGAAAGAGTCCTCTGCTCGCGCCGTTCTAGGTCTAGAGCGCAGAGCCGCATCCCCGCTGAATGACGTGTCAGTGGCATCTATAGACGATCTAACCTACCTACCCATAGTAGTATTAAGTGGTACAAAAGAGGAACCTTGCTCCTTGTAGCCGCCGTGTCCAACTTGACCGGGCGTCATGGTGGGGGCAGGCGTGCCTGTGTGAGTTTATGCAACTGTCCGGGAAGCCACCGACATCAATCACACGGGTAGGGCTCGGGGGTCTTCCATGCAGTATACACAGAAGTTCCAGGGTGTGTACCATGTTTTTCCTCCAAGTAAGAGGATGCAGGCTACTCCGGACGGCCTGATTGGCAGCTTTGGTTGAATACTACGCCGGAGAGGTATACTGGCCCACATTGGCACCGGTCAACCCTCCCTCTCGAACCCGTAAGCTCCTTCTGTACTGAATTTCCAACCCCTGAAACCTACAGCGTGGCTAGGAGGCCCCTCTCCGTAATTGCCCGCTTCGTGACACATATGTAAAGCAACGTTGGCAGCCATCAGGGCCGAAAAGGGCTACAGAAGGTGGAGGACCAGATTTCTGTGTAACGAGTGACCAAACACACATCTCAGTTTAAATTCACCGTATCAAAGTCAAAGTCTAAGTATTGCATTTGTGCTTAGAATGAATGAGCTCATGATCGCCGGCGTGTAACAATCTTACAGTGGATCGACGTCCCTATGTTATGTACCAAGAGAGCCATCCCAGCCTTCTTGCTGCTGATTGACGCCCCAGCCAGGTTGCAACGAATCAAATTCCGGCTCGGCGGGATGTTTGACTCTTTCGACGAATATTACTACACACCTGAGGCTTAGAGTTCTAGCGGCAAGCTGAACACTGGAAGTGTCATGGTATCATTGCCGGCTATACGCGTCATAACACCGATCGGCCAGAACCCTTCTGGCTCTGATTTTCGGAGAATTCAACCAAGCAATGATTGAATCACGATATCGAATTTCATCAAACAGCATCCCGCGTCCGCATGAGGCCTAGCACCTCGGGTCAGGGGGTTAGTATTCCCGTCGGAGCCGGGTAGGGCCTGATTCAAGGCGTCAGAGTGCCCCGCGGCATAAATCTCCCCACCTGTCCCGTTCATCGTTTTGTAGGGCAAGGGCTGTGATCACCCTTTTCTCCAATCCCTATTCGGGCCTTGTATGTAAGTCATGGGTCTGCCCATCCACCCCAGGGCAAGCACAAAGACGATCGGACACGTTGGTTCATGAGCAAAGGTGTGATAATCGTAACCAACCAGTAGATCTACGTAAGGGTCCCCCTCCTTGATGCTATCTACCAGGGTAAGTGCGTTAGGCACAAATGAAGCGCCCAGGAATAAATTGTGTGGGAGGTAGGGACGGGAGGGAGCTGAAGCTTGAAAACCACGCGGCTCTATTTGACCGGCTGTTACTCCCCGACTGCTCCCGTTTCATTCTTTCTTCAGCTGGGTGACCGGTCGGCTGCTCCACACCAACCTTTGGTGATAATGGTTGTATTGCAGCCAGGGAGACGTGTGCCACGATGCGTGTCGCCCGCAGGATAGCGCGCATCCTCTACCTCGCCTCTGATATCACACCCTGCTCGCTCCCGTGATTGGCGTGCTTTCGCGCCTTATTAGTCTCTGGATTCCGAAAACTTGTTTTCAACGGCTTTCTGAATGCCTTCAACTCCAAGGATGCGTGGTATACCGCGCATGGCTGTACGTGACCAATTGCTACTATGACCCCCTTTTTCTCTCAGCTGAGACTCTGTCAGAAGTGACAGACATCCTATCACGCCACTTACGGCCACTTATGGTAGCATGAAGCTTGACAGCAGGCTAGGCTGCCAGGTATTACCCGAGGCTTTCTCGGTAAAGCTCCTCCAGTTATCATAGAATCGTGTGCTTAGTGAATTGAGACTCTGCAATCATACACAACACTGTGAGTTGTTCGCAAATCAAGCTGAATTGAGTCCAAGACCTTGGGGGCTTTTGTAACATATCAGAAATAAGAAGGTCGGAGAGGAAATCACATGTGCGCTTTCATCATCGTTGCATAGTCTGGCCACGGCGCGGTTATTTGATACGTCGAGAACAAGTAGTGAGAAACGTAACATCAAGGAACATATTGGGTTCTGGTAACATTGTTTGCAGTGTTTCTTCATTCGCAACAGTTGAACTCAATACCTCTCGAGAACATCGCGATCGGTGCGGGCTCGAGGCTCGTTACAACGATGAGAACTGCACGCTCCATTTCCACGCAGACCACACCTATGATGGTTGATTACGTGTCCTTCGGATAATCTAGAGACTTGTGAGATACTTGATACAGTCTATGTACTTCTCATTAAGTTTTCATTTACTTCATCCCAGAGGATGCCTCTCCAAGATAGCTTCAACACCGGTCGTCTTGAATGACGTTGCTAAGGTAGCATCTGCATCGAGCCGCGCTCCACAATTAAAGCCTCCCCGTCAAGAGTGGAAATGCACTTGTGACATTCCCAAAAGCTTATGCAGCTTAATGAGATAACTAGTGCCACAGTGAAAAGTCCGAAGGTTCCACCTATAATAATCAAGCACATGCCTTAATAGTTAGTTATTATAGGTGGAGAACCATCATTGCCATGACAAGAGTTTGTGCTTCGACGTAGATATACAGCCTTGAAACTGCTCTATGCAATATAGCCCCAATAAGATGCATCCCACCAACACGATGCATGATGAACGTCATGTTAGTCACCTTCTAGTTTCAGATACCAATCAACCCAAAGTACCATCATCTAAAAGAATTACATGATATCATCCTTCCATTCTTAATACCAAGCGATGATGATGTATTATGCAGAACTAAGGAATTAGCTAGACTCTATGAACATCCTTATTTATCGACATCAGTGATATCTTCTGTCTATGCTACAAATTTTTACCATGTGTCTTAGCAACAGCCATCTGAACTGGGCCCTCTTAATCTTCAAGCGATGTTGGAAATTCATGAAATGCGGCAGCGGGATACTTATAAACATTAGACTATCAAAATTCATAGCATTCATCGATGTAATTCTGTTTTCTCAGCCGTATCCCTACCATGATAGAGAAGAGTATCACGGCTTTATCCTAGGAGCTCCATCTCCCAGCTCTTTAGTCCGGGGTAAACCCCAATAGTGTGCCTAGATATAAGACCATTTTCCACGTCTAAACCCCACTTTCGTGTCCTCTCAGAATCCTTTTACGCCCAAACTTTCTCTATGCGGCCTCGGTAGACATCGGGTCAAGTTGAAGGACCGCAAGGATGTTTCCACGCCTCAATTTCAATACAGGCATCAATTTAGAGACAGTAGCTCAACATGTCGACAGCTGGTATTCTCAAGGTAGAGCAGCCAGTACGAGAGCCATTTCATTCGCTCCGTGGAACAACTGCTGAGTCGCCAACTTGAGGGAAGCCGGCCCAGCTCACAGCACTAGGCAAGAGAAAAGGTTGTTCAGCTTTTGCTAGGAAATTATAGAAAGCGAATCAAAAATCAGTGCCCATCTCGTATTACCCACGTAGATCCCAGGTCAATGTCTAACATAACGAGGGGCTCGACCGATTTAGTTTGAGAATCAAGCATCTTCCAACGCTCTTTCCTTTCGGAAGGTCGGCATGGATGAGACCTCTGGACTAGAAATTTAGTCGAGCGGACCAATCATTTACGGGCCGTGCATTACGGCTGACGTTTGACTCTTCAGATGGTGAGGCGATGGCACGCTTGTCATCATCAATCCTAGTCGTTCGGCAGTGCTAATTAGCCGTTTTAAGAAATTTAGACGATCTGTCCAAGGAATTACATCTCAGGGTTGAGAGTTATGAGTGAGATATTAAGATATAAAGAAGCCAAATTTAAAAGATCCAAGGGGAAGTAGTATAAATTAATGGGACGGTTCCCTTCTAGTTCTAAGTTCATTCCAATTCAAAATCATAATAGAAGCCACCAAGCAAACGATGATACCGAGCACTTCGAGGACCACAGGCACACTATTGCAACTGCTCAGTTTGGGCTCAACGTTCTTGACAACCTTGCCATTATGTGCTGCGTCGCAAAACCGCCCAAGTAGCATTTATGATTGGAAAGAGGTTAGTCTGAACAACCTTCTTTAAGAGAGAATACGAATCTCACGTGCCCTAGGTGCCAACGTCCTCTGCTTCCTCGACCAAACTGGACTGGGTGCCATGCTTTGGTGAAGATTTTCTTTGCACGAGACTGGAGGTGAAACAAACAATATCAAACTTAACTTTATAGTGACTGACCACCTTTAGGTGCCTCTCGACTGGGCTGATGAAACTGTGGGAACAACGAAAGTAGCATTTGTGAAATACACTTCACAGAATGAATCGGCGGAGGATCTTGTTCTAAATTTCGGTAAGACTGTAATTCCTCAAGAACCGGTCCGCGGTATTTCTGACATGTACTCTTAGGGGGCCCGGGCGGCTCGGGTGTTGCGACACTGTTGAACATCGCACCGTTGCTCACCGAAGTCTTTGGCCCGGATGTCAACTTGATTAGTTTCGATCCTCGAGGCGTCAATAATACCGGACCTGCGCTCGACTGCTTCCCGAACGATCCAGCGACGAAAGCCATCTTCGAATCCCAATACTATCGCATCATAGCAGATACACCAGACAACATGGCAACCCAGTTTTACTTGGCCGAGTCCTTCGGTCACTGGTGCAACTCGGCAATAGGAGGTCCCAATGGAACGGCAAAATATGTAAACACTCCGGCTGTGGCTCATGACATGCTTGCATTCACCGAACTCGCGCATGCCACAAGAGGCAAGCCAAAAGAAGATGCGAAGCTGTGGTTCGCGGGGTTCAGCTACGGAGGTGTCCTCGGTACCACATTTGCTGCTATGTTTCCTGAACGCATCGGCCGTTTCATCCTTGATGGGGTGGTAGATGGCGAAGACTACTACGGGGGCTCCTGGAGCAAAAGCCTCATTGACACAGACAAGGTGGTCGATGGGTTGATCTCCTCCTGTTTGGCCGCTGGGAGGGAGGCCTGTCCTCTTTATGAGGACTCGTTTGAGGCTATCGAATACCGTCTCTCCAACATTCTCACCAAGCTCAAGCGGCACCCGATTCCTGTTTGGGACCCTGCGGTCGTTGACGCGCCTGCCCTAGCTACATATGCAGATTGGAGCAACGTCCTACTCCTTGCTACTAACTTTCCTCTAGCATCCTACCCAAAAATCGTTCAGATTCTCGTAGATCTGGAACGGGGACGCGGCGAATCGTTGATAGCTTCTAAGAAGATGGTTTTGGGTGCCCACTACAACGAAGAAGCCAGATACAACTCGGTCCAGGGGTACACAATGATCGGGTGCGTCGATGCTGGGGGTAGGCACAACGTCTCCTCTCTTGACGACTTTCGAGATTATGCAACTTTCTTGAAGACACAAAGCAAATATACCGGAGAGGCCTGGGCGGTTACGTCTGCCACTTGTCGTGCTCTGGATGTGATGCCACCAACAAGTGGGCAATTTACTGGTACGAAACTTCCGCGATGAGAGCACTTGAGGGTTATCGGTAACAGAAATTCATTAGGTCAACTACCGCCTTCGGCCAACAAAACCAGTGCGCCTATTTTGTTTATTGGCAATAGAGCAGATCCTGTTACGCCACTCGTCGGGTGAGTCTTGCTAATTTATCTCCCCGTTCCGAGAGCACAATGTATTGACTGTAATAATAGCACCCGGAGAGCATCTACATTCTTCCCCGACTCTGGACTTGTTGAAATAGATGGCATCGGTGTAAGTTTCGCGCATAGCTTTCGTCGGCGAAAATCGATCCTCAGAACTAACTGACATGTAGCACACCAGCCTGGGTGCACCGTCTGAATGCGCGTTCAAGGAGATGCGCAAGTATCTTTCCGGGGCATCTCCCCTTCCGCTTGTCATTTGTACACCAGATGAGGTTCCATTTCAGAGCAAGCTTGAGGGTTTGGCACTATTGACGGAGATTTAGAAACTGAAGGCTTTAAGGGGTTTAGTTTTATAGGACTCACCGAATCGGCGAGACTAGGTAAGAAATACAATAATTTTACCAGTTTTCTGGGCGGGTTCCTTCCAGAATCTCAGTCATTCTTATATAGACGAAGAAATACGTAGATACTTATCAGGAAACTATGAGACTACAAATTACTCAACCGATGTTTGGCTGTAGAAGCGGTGCCCCAAGATCTGGCTCTTATATGCCTGTGTTGGATCTCCAAGGGCATACACTTGGGACAGGGTGATGCTGTGTTTGGCTAAGTCCGTGTGTCAGCCTCGCCTACAAGCCTCAATGCTACGTACGCTCACCCATTCCTTTGACAGTGCTGACATTGTTGATCAAGACTAATAAGCACCCACTTCCTGCATCAACAATCTCGCAGTCTCTACTTCTGCAACTGCGCCAATGGAAACGTCAAGCAAACCCAAAACGCGGCGCTCGAAGAACGGGTGTCGCACCTGTCGGTAAGATCTCCACCTCACTAAAGTGTGAATGAGACCGAAAGCTAACAAATCAGGATACGACGAGTGAAATGCGACGAGACATCCCCGTCTTGTACGCGATGCACATCGACGGGCCGCACCTGTGAGTGGATTGGAGTCTTTCGCGACGGGCTTGGCGACATCAAGCCAAGACTGAGGCCGCAGCAAGCCCTTCCCATATTCCCCAACGCCAAAGCCGAGGAGCTCCGCGGGTTCGAGTTCTTCCAGCATCGGACCGCCCGGGAAATGTGCCCGTCGTTTGACTTTGGGTTCTGGACGTCGCTTGTTCTCCAGCTGAGCAGGTCAGAGCCGGCTGTTTTGCATGCCGCCATCGCCCTCGGGGTCCTCCATGAGACCGAAGAGAGCCTTGGCATGCCTATTTCCAAAGACCGGCTAACCCACAACGAGAAGCACAAGTTTGCGGTGGGGCAATACAACGCCGCCATCAGGTTGTTGATGGGGGGCCGGACGGCAACTTCCGTGCTGGCCACTTGTTTGATCTTCATTCACATTGATCTGATGCGCGGCCTATATCAGGCTGCAGGGGCGCACATCAGGAGCGGGCTGAAGATACTAGAAGAATCCGGGAGCGTGCTATCGCATGATGTGAATCGGATGATGAGAACGGGATTCTGCCGGCTTGACCTACAGGCTACACATTTTGATGCCGAGGCCCCGTACTCTAAACTTCCGGTTTATGAGCTCGCCGCCCTCGATGATGCGTTGAGCCGACCTTTTATAACACTCAAAGATGCAAAAGAGCAATATGACGCGCTGCTCTACCACACTTTTCGATTGCTCAGGACTTGTGAGGGTAACGTGCTCAAGAATCGGTTGGATCACCTAAGTGACCAGGTCCTCAGGGCCCAGCAGCAAAAGTTGCTGCGTGCCCATCGCAATTTTCTCCAGAGTTGTTGTGTGATGGTGCAGGGACCTACGAGGGCAGCCGGTCAGGAACAGCAAGCTCTTCGACTTTTACAGATGCATACCCTCCTCACACAGGTACTCGTTAGAGTTTGTATGGCCCGCGATGTTGAAGACGCGTTTGACGAGCATATTCGCACTTTTGAGGATATTTTCCTCCTGGCCAAGGAATTTGTTTCGAACCAAACCAATGCTCAAGTTGATGACTCGGCCTCTAGGGTAGGTAGCTTATCCACGGACTGGGGCATCATCTTCCCTCTGACCATGACGGCATTAAAGTGTCGTGTGGGATCGATTAGAGAGGAGGCAGTGTGTCTGTTGGAAGCATGGAAGCACCGCGAAGGGTTCTGGGACTCGGCATTGGCAGCCAGGTGCTGTCGCGAGCTCTTGTCGGTTGAGCTATCCGATGAAGGCGGGAGTGTAAACAAGCTGGCGAACATTTGGGTCGATATTCCTGACCATCAGAGAGAAGTGACATTGACTTGGGACATGGAGTCTCAAGGGGCGAGCGACACGCCAGCCCATTCACGCGCAGTGGCAATCTAGCGACTGCACCTTATGAATATAAATGGTTGAGAAGCATCGGTGAATGGTCAACCCACGATAACCAGCCAAGCTTGGCCGTGCGATCCCCAACGTTGGTGAGGCTTGACCTACCCTAGAGCAGGTAAACGGAAATCTCCAGATGATGTGGCACAGCGGACCAGTTTTGCGCAAACAGCATGTGGAAAAGGATCCTGGCAATAGGTTAAAACACCGAGCACTCCGTAATTCCATCGATGCCCGGTATCCCATTGGCCATACCCTGGGCAGATGTAACTTTACTGCAGTCCCGATGCCATGGTTTCCTGCTTGAAAGAACTTCGGTCAACGAGTGAAGCACACTTGCACCGCTTGTGCCCTGCAAATGTGCTGGCTAACCCATGAGCCTGCTAGGGTTTAACCCAGGACGTAACGTGGCAGAGAGGAGAGTCCAAGACGAACTGGGAAAAGCCGAGGGTTTTCAGCCGGTTCGTGCTGCCTGCATTGCCCGCGTGGAGATGGACCAGGCCCCATCCAGAATCCAATAATGAGTTAATTACGCATTCTCACCATGGATTCACCAATGGCCGCCGTTGGGTTTGCGAGAGGGGAAGGAGAAATCGAACCACGCCGCCGCCCCGGTCCAGGTCAATTCAACGGTCAGGATTCACAAATACAGGCGTTCGGTAGAGGCCTTGGGGCAAACAGGGCTCTCGGACAGCCTCAGGGCCTGGAGCACCGGCTGACAGGCCACTGGACCTTCCACATCCTCACCTGACCCGCCGCACCACTGCCATTGTTTGGCTCCAGGTCCCTGAGGCATCAAGCTTTAACGCTCTGGAGTCGCCTGGACAAACGGTGCAGCGCTAGCACAGAGGGCTGAACCGCTAGTACACAGCGGGCGCGCGGGAGCTGAGTCAGCCGGGGTCTGCTGCAGAGCACCACCACCACTAATTGCAGCCCCCTGCCCGAGGCGAGGAAGGTGCGCGCATTGCCTGGCTCCGGCTCCACCTTCCTCCAGGCCATCCGTTTTGATCCTGTTTCTCGTCGCTGGTCGTGTCTCGGGCTGGGATCGAATCCGCCCCTAAACTGTCCCTCCTCTATCTAGCCTTTGCACTGTATTGCGAATTTGCTTTCTTCTCCTTGTCCGGTCCAACCTAAGACAGTCTTGTCGCTCCCTACAAGGCGGTTCGTTCTTCGCATTCTACTTTGTCTAGCGTCGGTTATGCCAACTCCTGCGCCTGGCTAGCCTTCCTCCCTCCCCTCTCCCCTCTGGATGCCAATCAAACGAATTCTTTCCTCGACCGTTGCCGCGAAGCCTGATGCCTCCACCCTCGAAATCCGGCAGTAGTGGTGAACCGTCACCCCAGAGCGCCGACCACGCCGACTCTCCAGAATCCATCGAGGCCGACCTCGACGCTTCTGATTCCGTCGAAGGGTACGAGTCCGACTCGGACTCTGCCGCCTCCACGTCGCTGGCCTCGAGTGTGCGCGACTACGTCTTCGAGAACAACCGCCGATATCACAAGTTCAAGGAGGGCCGGTACCTCATCCCCAACGATGACATCGAGCAGGAGCGCGAGGACATGAAGCACACCATGTGCCTGCATGTCGCCAACAACAACCTGCACTTTGCACCCCTCGACCACCCTCAGAAGATCCTCGATCTCGGAACCGGAACTGGGATATGGGCAATCGACAGTAAATTCTACCAGCGCTTCGTTACTAGTTTGATCCTATGCTAATACCTCCGCCTACCTTCCAGTGGGGGACGAATACCCAAGCGCAGAGATTATCGGCATTGACCTGAGCCCCATCCAACCGTCATTCGTGCCGCCCAATGTCAAGTTTTACGTCGACGACGTCGAAGCGGAATGGATCGATAAACCGGAGACGGTCGACTTCATCCACGCCCGACATATGGCCCCAGCCATCAAGAAATGGCCTGAGCTGCTTCAGCAGGCATACCGGTACGGATCGCCCCGGCTCGACCGGCAATAAATCCTCAGCGCATCAACTAACATGGCGACAGAACATTGCGGCCTGGCGCCTGGATCGAGCTACAGGAGCTGAAGTTGAAACCTTCGTGCGACGACGGAACTATGCCCGAAGACTACTTGGTGGCCGATTTTCTCAGCAACCTCGCCAAGGGCTTCAGCTGCTTCGGAGTTGATCTTCTCGGCATGGAGAGGAACCAACAACTTCTCACCGACGCTGGATTCGTCAATGTGGAGGAGAAGATCTTCAAGGTACCCATCGGCGCATGGGCCAGGGACCAGAAGTGGAAGACCATTGGCATGTACAACCGCTCAGTGATAGCGGATGCCCTACAAGGTGTTGCCATGGGGCCGTACTCGCGTGGCTTGAAGTGGACACCCGAAGAGATCGAAAAGTACTTGGTGGGCGTGCGGAGGTCGTTGGCTAACACGTCGATACATTCTTACTACACATTTCACGTCGTCTACGGCCAGAGGCCTACGACAGGATGAGCTTAACGAAGCGATGACATGACACATTTCCCCAGCATATACTTTTGTACTTTTCCCTTTGTTTTATATATTGCTGCTTCGATTTTGCAACGGCGAATGGGGTTTCCACAGCGTTAATTGACTTTCCACATGGATGGGTATGAATAATTCACTACATATATTATGTTTCTTTCAGTCTCAACAGCCACTTGAACTTAGGGCTTGCCGACTCCTTTCTTCGCGACCACCATCTCGGTCAACCTGTCCATGTCCTGGACCAGCTTTCCTTCGTTGACGGCAATATCAACAGCTCTTGCGCCACGCTCTACCACATCCGCGTCATACTTATCAATTGCTTCCTTCAACTCTGCCTTGCCAGTTGACACCTCCACCAGAGCTCGCACAATCTTGACAGCGTCATCAAGAGCGTTATTCAACCCTTGCCCGCGGACTGGGAAGAAGCCAGACGGTTAGCATTGCAATGACAGATAGAGGGAGAGTGGGACTCGTCGTTCAATGAATCCGGGGGCCACCACGAGGCTGGGTGGTGAATTAACTGATGATAAGAAACTGAACTTACATGGAAGCATCGGGTGCGCCGCATCTCCAGCGATCGTGATCTTGCCATCAAAGTTGGGCCACTGGACCGGCCGCCAGTAGGACAGTGAGCGAACGAATGCAGGCGTGTCCTCGGGCAAACCTTGGACGATGGACTTGAAGGGTTCACTGAACGTGTTGGTGATATCCTTCATGGTCTTGATCGCATCAGGGCCTTCCTGGCGCGGTGACTCGCCACGCCATATGCGCGTGATGTTGAAGATCCATGTCGAGATGTCATCAGGATTGACGGCGTCCTCGGCTGCGTTCCGCCATGTTAGTTGATTGATATTCCAACCCGGCGCTGGATCTTCGTACCTCCGATGGCGAGCACGCCCATTGAATGATAGACCATGGCCCAGACAGGGTGCGCCTTTAGAATGGCCTCCGCCTTCTCCTGCCCGAGCACGGCGCTCGTGTACCCACACACAAAGTCCGACTTGGTGGGCTGGGACTTCTCCTCGCCCAGTAACAGTTGCCTCACCTTGGACCTCGGCCCATCCGCGCCGATGACAAAGTCGGCCGTGGTCTCGGACCCGTCTTTGAAAGTGATCTTGACCCCGTCGTCCTGGACCTTTAGGTCGTCGAACGTCACGCTCCATCGGATGTCGACGCCCTTGCTCGCGTGCTTGCGCAGCTTCTGCCTCGTCACCCGCTTGATGACCGTCGGCGGAGCCTGGAAGAGCAGATCTCCCGAGTGGCCGTTGTAGAACTTGATGCCCTCGCTCTCCTTTGCGTCGCGCGAGGCAGGGTTGCAGAAGGTCTTGTGGATGTCCGCCCACAGATCGGCGGGGAGCAGCTCCGAGAGCGTCTCGAACCCCCAGTGGATCATGAAGCTCACCGGGCGGTTGTCTGCCACTGGCATCAGCGACCGGCCGGCATTGTTTGGGGGCGGGTGCAACGTCGGGAGTGAGCGAGTGAGTGAGGGGTGGAGGTTTAGTCAATTACCGCGGAACTCGAGGCTTGGATCTCGCTCGTACACCGTCACTTGGAAGCCATTCTAGCGGAAGGGGGAATGATTAGCGCCAACACGTCCGACGTTTCTCTTGCCTATTCGTTTGCTTTTCTCGTGCTTCTCTAGCGCATGAAGGGGAAAAAGAGCAGAAAGCCGTAGAGCCGTACCTTTAGTAGCCCCTGGGCAATCAACAGTCCCGTCACTCCTGCGCCGATGATCGCCACCCGCTTGGGGGCGTTTGCGTTGGTGAAGCTGGCCATTGCTTGTATATAGGTCCACGATGCCGAACTGGATTTTCGAAATAAGATAGAGTTGGAGAACAGAACGGCAAAGCCTAATTCTAAAGGGAAACAGCTCAATTGATCGAGCGGCTCACCTGAAGGGGAAGAGGGTCTCCCTACGCCTCCCCCTACATGGGGACATACCCACCGCCGTGGACATGGGCCGCGCCTGGGTCGAGAGGAGGGGTGCCTGCGACTGCTACTGGTTCGTCCGGGAGAGGGGGGACCAGGTCTGCAGCCGCGGCGCAATATTGCCTAACCTCGTTGCCCGTGCATGTTTTCTATGGGGCGGACGGGGGCCAGGGGTCTGGAGAGAGGGAGGTTGGTTTCTGGAATGGATTGATTCCGGTGACCAGGCTCCCGGTACGCGAAGAGGGAGGCTGAGGTATGGGATGCCTTGGAGCAGAGGATGTCCTTTTGGTGGGAGATTTGTCCTGGTTTGTGTAGCGTTTCTGGGGGAGTGCTTCTCGACAGTCGGATAGCTGGTCCTCGATGGACGGTCCCCCATCCGAGACATGCATAGTGAAACACCCAGTGAGGGTGTCCTCCAACTGCAATAGTCCGGCTGGCTAGCGGACGGCTCGACCTGCTAGGCCTAAAAGGCGTTGTTGTGCATGTGCAGAACAACGCACTGCGCAGCCATTCCCCCTCTTCCGTCGCGGGTCTTGGCTGCGTCTGAGGGTGGCCCGGTGTCTGCAAGCAGTGTTGTTTGCGAAAGCCAATCACGTATCTCCATGATATAGCCAATGATGTACTGCGCGGCCAGGTCGTCTTGCGTACGCATGAAAGAAGCTTACCTTCATGATGGATACTGTGTCGTTGAGGGCTCAAGTTCAATCGATATAGGAGCCAGGTCAATATAGGTGACTGTGGCGATCTGTGATGCCTTTCGAACCATGGCAAGGCACGTGTATGAGCATGGCATATTTTATCAATACTTTTTTACCGTTTGTAGTACACACAATTTGTACTTCCGGGGCTACACTGCATCATAACTGGGAAATGGTTACGACAAGAATGGCAAATCAATTTTCTCTGTTGCTCTGATACCCGTTTGGCCACGGGATGCACTTCCAGCACAAGATTGAGGCTCAAATCCTTCGTTTTGATGCCCGGGTCAATGGGGTCGGCCACTTCCTCTTGGGGATATGGGGGTAGAGGTGAACAGCAGCAGAGTCTGTTTGATTGTCGCCGTTCCTTGTATTGTCTTAAATAGCACCTTTGCAGATCAACTCCATTCGGGGGGTTCCTGAAGCCAGAAGTCAGACCCAGCCAGATCATTCAGACAGCTGCGCCAGGTTGTGTGATTGTGAAGGCATCGGATTGTGATAAGATGACGACAAGAATACAACTTCATCATTCATTGTACGCCAATATCTCTCTAGGGCACAAGGGAAGATGAAGCTAATTTCTCCCCGGCTGAAAATCAGGACGTCAAATTCGCACATGGCATGCAATCAGCCTAGCTGAGTTCTGTTACTTTATGGGTAGGACTGCGGCCGCCACATAGATCCTTTATCTAGGGAGGATTCTTCCTGATGGACTGAATGAATGAATACACATGCATCGATTCCATGTCGTTCTTTGATTCACCAACATGCTTGTCAATAGCTTGTTCCGTTTCCATCTTGCTCACGTTTCGATCGTCTCGTGATTGATCAAAACTATGATGTTTGAGGTTTTGGCAGGAAGTCTTTCACAACAATTCAGTTTGCAGCACGCATGGCTTATGAAATTCCCCGCTGGCCGACAAGCTACATGACCCTCGGTTCCGATTCCAAATCTAGCAATCAACCGAGAAAGGGATATCCATGGCCTGTGCATGCGTAAGATCTGGTGGTTGATAGGATCGGGAACCTCTAATGAGGCTCGAATGTTGGATTCTACAATTTTTGAAGTTTGAAATGAGTTGTAAACTGAGAAGAGCTTGTATTAATTCATATCTTAGCTTCATGATGGATAATCGGCATTTCGCGGCAATGGACGGCCATCCGCCGCGGCGGTCCCATTCCGTTTGTGGCCAAACCACGGCCTGCAATTGCGCCATCAGTTCACCAGAGATCGATCGGCATTACGGCCTCCAGGGCGGTGCCTTGAATATCCTCCGGTACCGGGATCGGGTTATCTTGCGTTGGGTAGTACTCGGCGAAGACTGAACCGACCGGCAATAAGAGTGGCTCAAGTCCGTTGCCCTCTTTTTTCTCTCACCGACTGACTCCCAGTTCCTCCACACTCCAATTGACTGATGCTCATGAGAACAGCGGATTTGCGAGACGTCTCTATCAATCCGAGCCCGAGAGACGGTCCTGCCCGGCTCTTGATACACTCAGTGCACAAGTTTCCACTCAAACAACGCAGCTCATGTCCCGTCTAAGACGCCATGAGTCACACGACCACTCCCCAGGATGGGAAATTGACGGAACCATCTGTAACAACGGCTGATGTCGAGCAGCAAGTCCAAGTAGCGGACGGGAAAGATATCGCTCTGGAGCCTATACAGCCATCGACATCATCGGCCACCAATGGAGAGCTAAATCTCACGAGGACAGAGACACCTGGACCAGAGTATTCCGTCTTCTCCAGGGGGAGGAGGAGATGGATCATCTTCATGGCCGCCGTTGCCAGTTTTGTCTCTCCAATGACCGCCACCATATACTATCCCGCTCTGGTGCCGTTGTCTAGAGACCTCAACGTGAGCATATCCTTGATTAACCTGACAGTCACGTCGTACATGATTTTCCAGGCCATAATCCCTTCCATATACGGTGATCTGGGCGACACCGCGGGTCGGCGACCGGCCCTGTTTCTCTCCTTCACGATTTACCTCGTCGCCAACATCGGCCTGGCTCTGCAGAGAAGCTACCCGGCCCTGCTGGTTCTGCGAATGATCCAGGCCTGCGGTAACAGTGGCACGATTGCACTCGGATTTGCCGTGGTAGCGGATCTAGTTACGAGCTCAGAGAGGGGGAAATATATGGGCATAATCTACTGTGGCATAAACGTTGGACCCACGTTAAGTAAGTCGGTTGACCCTCTCTTACGAGGTTGGAAAGACGACTGAGCTCATGGTGGGATCTAGGCCCTGTTCTCGGTGGAATCTTCTCAGCCTACTTGGGGTGGCCTTCAATATTCTGGTTCAGCGCCATCCTGGCCGTTGTATGGCTAGTTCCCTTTTTATTCGCCGTTCCCGAGACATGTCGAGCTGTGGTTGGGAATGGAAGTATACCACCACAAAGATGGAACAGGACTCTATTTGAAATAATCAAAGGGCGAAAAGAGCCGCCCGGGCAGGCCATTGAGCGGCCCAAGCTACGCTTCCCGAACCCTATCTACACCCTGAAGATTATATTCAACAAGGAGATGTCACTTATCCTATTGTACAGCTCGATCCTATACCTCGATTTCGTTATCGTGGCAGCAACACTGGGAACTCTGTTCCAGAAGACGTACGGCTTCTCGGATCTTGAGGTTGGTCTATGCTATCTGCCATACGGTGCTGGCTGCTGCATCTCCAGCGTTGGCCAGGGATACATTCTGGACTGGAACTACCGCCGCGTCGCGAGCAAGGTTGGGTTCAAGATCGACAGAAGACGCGGTGACAATCTCCTGAACTTCCCACTCGAGAAAGCCCGGCTTGAGACAGTCACCCCCGTGATAGTCCTCGGGGTCGGAACGCTCATCTCGTACGGATGGGTTCTCCAAGCCAAGGCGAGCGTGGCCGTGCCCTTGGTCCTGCAATTCATCATCGGGCTCTGCTTCCCGGGTTCATTTAGCGTGATGAACACCCTGATTGTTGATCTACACCCCAAGGCGCCTGCCACGGCCTCGGCAGCCAACAACATGGCAAGGTGTCTGCTAGGGGCAGCGGGAACCGCATTCATCGAGCCTCTGTTCCTCAAGATTGGGTATGGGTGGTCTTTTACCATTTTCGGCGCCCTGCCAGCACTGCTGTGTCCTCTGTTGTTTGTTATTCAGAAGTACGGTCCCCGGTGGAGAAAAGAGAAACACGCGGCGGAGGAAGATGGGGAATAGAGCGCGCTGATTTTCCATGGGAGCTTGTTTCATCCCGGGGCTGGCATTGTCAAAATACTGCGAGACGTATATATATGGTTAGTTGTGAAACTAGGTAGCCACGCATGTGTGGCCTGGCCTCTGGATTCCTCTTGCATACGGCAAAAAACACAGATAAGGATGGACGACGGAATTTTTATCCCTGTTTTTTGCCGTATGCAAGGGGAATCCCGAGATCAGGTCACACATAACATATAGGTATATATATGCAAAGCAGTAGTTTACGTAGAGTATGGCATTTAGTTTATCTATTCAATGTAATCTCTTAGGAGGAACTGTAAAAGGTTATTAGTATCTGTGACTATTAAACATAGAACTCCTGTATCATGACTCGAGCCATGTGAGATTTACTGCTTGATGATGAACGCCTCCACCATCAACAGCCCATATACTATTCCCTCGATCAACTTGACAGTTGCGAGGGCAAAAATGACAAATGGATGATTCGATTCAATTACCTGTTCTAGAAGATGATGGCCGTTGGTATTCTCTCAATGTCGCGATACTTGGAGAAATGATTCAGCGTGGTTTGAGAGCAGCTGAATCACTTCTGGGGCGTATTATCCTTTAGGTACACAACCTCGGGGCGAAGTAATACAACATGACTACGCTTACACGTCTTATTACTGTAGGCCTCATCTCTGCACGGCGTCCAGTTTTCAGTAGTAATTCTACATTCAGTAAGAGACCTGTCAGCACCGTTTCGGGTGGCCACCTCGGACTTCTGTGGCTGATGCATGTCTAGAGTCCGATGTGCCCACTGCTGCCTGCTGCTGCCTTTTCAACCGCCCGTTGTATAAACTTGGAGGGTGTGCACCTGATGATTTCTGCATGAAATTATTTTATTTCATTTTAATCTGCCTATATTTGAGTTTCTCAACAATCACCTACATAATGAAAGAAAGTCGGATGGCCTCAGTAGTCCTCCATGAACGGATCCTGCAAGCGTCCGCCGTCAGACAGACTCGGTCGGCCCTGCTCACAAAAATCCCCCCCGAGATCAGAACCGAGATATTCACTCTGGTACTGCAATCGTATCCCGACCAATCTCCCGAGCGGAAATATGATGGTTCCGAAGCCTTTGCCCGCCCAGGCTACTCGGCGCCTCTCGAAACCTGCACAGCCGTGTTGCGGACCTGCCGCGCCGTCTACCAAGAGTACTGGCAGTTCCCCTTCTTTCTTCGCGAGCAGATCCACTGGGCCGTTAACAGCGGGTTGCGTTGCCCTCCAACATACAGCTTGGCTACCGCGTTGAAGAAACTGCAGTCTTCGTTCCCGATGCTGTGGCTAAGACAAGAGTTCAGAGATCTTCGAGTATTTACTCAGGTGTATGCGTTGGAGAAGGAGGGCATCATGAATAGAATTTTGAGCGTTGGGGTCCGCCCTCACATAATCACCATCACGATCCGCCATACGGATTGGTGCAACTGGGAGAATGGACCGCTGAAACTCGAGGGAAACTGGACGCGAGGGGTCTCCAAGGTATTGCCAACGAGCGTGCGTCAACTCATTATCGAGCTCGAGTCGGTTCGTCGTATGAAAGAGCAGGTGGATGAACTAGCTTCGCAGATGATGGAGAAATGGCTCTTCCAGAGGGATGATGGGGTCACTTTGTCCCCGCAGTCAGTTGCGTATTCTACATGGAGGGGGAAAAGCATGAGAAACGGTGATAGATGGAATAGATACGGCACTGCCAACTCCCGCATACAGTACTACATCGCGAGGGTGTATTTTCGGTGGGAAGAGAGAGACCCTCGGAGGTATACTCGGAAGAGAAACCAACAGCTGAGGCTTTATAACCCCGAATGGCGTCCGCTCCCGGCCGTGCATGAGCCGATGAACCTTCTACCAGAGGTTGAAGAAACCCTACCACCCCAAATCCCGCATCTGGGACTCCCAAGATTCATGAGGGACACCATCTCATCCAGTCTAAAGAAGCGAAGGCCCTGAACGAACGCCGTCCCGGCATCGGTCTCTTGGGTTGTGTTCGCGTTTTGTTATTGTTATTATGGTTGATGCCTCTGTCTGGCTTTGTTTCATTTGTCCTCTCCATGAAGTTTCATTGTTTCCTTTCTTACTTATGCCCGCTCATGAATTGATGTTATGCCTGGATAGTAGATGCCCTACTCGTTGTTAATTGGAGAGTGTCACTGGTGATTTTCTAGTTTAAACAGACTGTCATGATACATTTTATTTCAACTTCTTTCAATAGTCAATCAATTATTTCATTTTATACGGTTCATAGTACACTCTGTTGGGAGCCAGTGCCCATTACTAGCCTTTACTACCCTCTCCTAATTGCGTCTCCTGGCAACTCGCTACCCCATTGTCCACTCCCAGCCAGTTCCGTCGGCGGCGATGAAACCCGGAAAGCAGGCAACTCGGCAGAGTTGGTCCACTGCGAGGATCTTGGGGACGTATACGGCGGTGCCGGTGATGGCTGGGAGACGGTGGGATTCGGCGACGCAGCGACAAACTTTTCCACCTGCGGCGATTGTTGTGGGCCGGCAGGCGTGATGGCAGCATCCTGTCGGGCGGCGCTCCTCCTCCGTAAAAGCTTGATGATCCAAACCAGCAGGCCGATGATGACGAGGCCGGCAATCCCGCCGACGATGGGGCCGGCGATCCATGCAAGACTGGCGGGCTGCTCAGGCAGGGGTTCGTTTACGTCGTCGGCAACGGAGTCTGTTTCGCTACTGGTGGGGTTTTCGGATGATGTGCTTGAAATTGTAGACGTCTCGAAGGTTGTGGATTCTATTCCGCTCGTTGACGAGATTCTCGCCGTGGTTCTCGACGTGGTTCTCGACGTAGATGATCTCGTTGTTGTGATCCTAGTCGAGGAGCGAGAGCCTGTCGTTGTTCGATAGTAGCGAATGGGATTCGGAACCTTGGCACAGCCGACTCTCGTAAATGGTGCCTGGTCGTCTAGGTCGGTGTATATGAAATGGAAGCCGCACACGGGCAAGTTGGAGGGACTGCCACCAACACAGCTTAGCAAGTGCCTCCGGGTAAAGCGTGTTACTAGGAAGATGATACACATACCACAGGGCTGAACCGGTAGCGTAGATGAGTGTCGAGCTGCTTCGACAACTAGTAGGTAAACCTGGGGCAGACGTGCGCGCACATCCTGCCAAACTCGAGGAAATCGCAAAGGTCGAACCGGATCCGCATGTGATTCTATCATCTATCCAGGCTTATTAGTTCCCATATCTCTGCCCCCCTTGATGGCGGCTAGGTGTCAACTCACAGCCTCCCGTGGAGTCTACGGTGTAGCCGAGGAAATTAGACGACTGTTGGTTCTGCCGAGCAACCAATTCGAACGTGCTGGGAGCCTCCGTGATGGTTGGATCGGGCACCTCAGCGCTGGCATGGATGACAAGGAAGGAAAGAGCGAAAAGACGAGCTGGTGTTCCCATCCTTGGAAGAGCAGAAAGCCGCATCTTGAGCACTCTTTTTACACGACCAACTTCACGGTCATAACTTGTAGCGGACTCGATGGGGACAAGGAGTATGAGGTTCAGGAGAGAGCAGAGAGGTGGCAGAGAGGGGGGAATTCAATGGCCAGCCACCAAAAGCATAAATTCATCTAATGCAGCGTGCTGCGCCATGTCACTCGGTAGAATGGACCGTTATGCACGGATGTGCCATCTCATGACGCCCAAAGTAAGACAAGGCGTCTTGGGCGGCGGTGGACTAATCCCTTCACGGGGGGGAACAGACAGCTAGCAGCACATCTGAATTACGCTTGAATTTAAAGTGCGGCCGTGCTCTTTGTCTTATTGGGCGAGTAGTAACAGCTGAGAGACGGCTTGTCAGCCCCCCAATAAATACTGCATTAGCGTCTTGGAAGAAGCGGTTGAGCTGACATGTGTGGTGGGAGGCCCATCAAGATGACAAAGTAATGTTCCAGATAATGCATTTAATTGCCTTGGCGAACAAGAGCCGGATGGGCCGGTCTACGCAGACACTCGAGACATTTTATCACACGTTAGAAGGGTCTTGATTCGGAGCATTCTACCAATAATTTGTTCTTGTGGCATGACCGACTTCGCCGGGTTTATCAAGATATATGATTTTATGCAACCTACTCACAGGATTGAGCGCTCTGAGCACCCTGTTCTTGACGTGGATTCGACAGGTCATGTTTGATTCTGCCAGACTTCACCTTGTTCGATGATTGATGCCCGATCTCCTCGGCATGTGACATGCTAAGTCTTGGTTTCTTCCCAGCTTCCCTTCTTGAGTCTCGACTTCACCGCAGCCAATGTGCTTGCTGTGCGTGTTGTAGCTCCACCTAGGATGTCGAAAATGGCCAGCTCGGCATGGACTTCCTTCGCGAACCAGTTTCTCAATTCGACGGCGACAAGAGAGTCCACACCGTATGTATGTAGTGGTGTATCTGGGTCTAGCTGCTCCCGAGGCAGTGCGAGCATCGTAGATAGCTTCCGCAAAAGTGCTTCATTGACGGCGTTCGCTGCATCATCCAAAGTAATCGCCTGTGCAAAGACGGAACCCAAGTCTACGTCCTGGGCCAATTGCTTGCCTAGCCCCCGTGAGTTGTCGCTTTCCTTTTCGTCCTCCAGTGCCAGCGTTCGAAGCATTGCCTTGCGAAAGAATTGGTGCCTGATGGATGGATCTTGAACAAAGCTATTAATTCCGAATACCACTTGAGTAGGTATGCTCTCAGAGCAGCAGCAGTCCAGGAGGGGGAACAACTCAGGCTCAGTTACTGTCAGGGGCCGTTGTGCCTCCCAGCGTGCCCAAAGATCGACATTCTGAGTCGCAAAGCCAATGTCGAGGAATATCCCCAGGTCAAGCGCGACCCCATGCAGCCCTTGATCAACCCGGTACTTCATGAGGGCATCGATGTAGGTATTTGCAGCGGCGTAGTTGGCTTGACCCCGACCACCTGCTACGCCAGCTACTGATGATATACCAATGAAGAAGTCCAAGTTGGTTGGAAGGAGAGAGTGCATGTTCCAGGATCCCAACGTCTTTGGCGCGGCGGCGGCCTGCCATGTTTCATATGACATTCTCTCAAAGACAGCATCGCGGAGAAGTCCCGTCGCCTGGATAGCGCCACGAATAGGTGGCATAGTAGATGAGCAGTTGTCGAGGACCGATCGGAGTGCATCGGAGTCGCTGATATCGCAAGGCGGAGTGGCAACTTGGACACCCCTGAGAGTCAGACTTTCGACAAAATCGCGAGCCTCTTGCGTCCGTGGCCCTGATCTCGCTAGCAAAATGAGATGGCGGGCGCCGCGGTCTACAAGCCATGCGGCCATACTTCTTCCGAGCCCCCCAAGACCGCCAGCTACCATATAAGTTGCATCCTTCCTAAGTGAGGTGGTTGGCTTCCTCTCTAGGACGGCCTTTACCTTGTCTTCGGGTCGCATCTCTATCACAATTTTGCCCATGTTATCGCCTCGCTGCATGACTCGGAGGATCTTCTCTAGGTCTGACACGCCATGCACTTGCAACGGGAAAGCTGGCCGCAACACTCCTTTCTCATGCAAGTCGAAAAGTTGCTCCAGCATGGGCCGAACAGTGTTGGGCTTCGACCTGCAGACAACTCCGATGTCAAAGGCGTGGAAGAAGAGCCCAGTGTCAAAGCGCGCCATGGGCAGACTCTTTCGCTCATGGATGTTCCGTTTGCCTATTTCCATAAACCGGGCAAACGGCGCAAGGCATTCCCATGATGAAATGAAACCTTCACCGCTTAGAGCGCTGAGTATCACGTCGACACCACGGTCTTTTGTCGTTCGCTGAACCCCGCGAGAAAAGGCGGAAGCCACCCTGCTACTGAAGATATGATCCGAATCTATCCCGTATTGTTCTTGCAAGAGTGCCTTCTTGTTCGATTTTTTCAATTTCAACGTACTAACGAGTTTAATCGGTAAAAAGCGTGGTCCTATCAGGACTTCTCAAAGCCATATTTGGCTACCTCCCCGGAAGCCGCCAGCCATCCTTTTATCACACACAGATCTGGACCAGTGTGCATTGCGGCACTGGGGTCATTTGCGCCTGCCTTCCAGTGTGCTGGCCTCTTGTTGTTCGGATAGGAAAACTCAACATGAGAAGCTGGGCTGATCCTTCGTTTTTACGGAATTACTGGTACCGTCTCAGTGGTTGGATCTCGACTGACAAGGGGAAACAGTCATCTGGAGGATCAGGAAGATCGAGAGAGGAAGAGGGGGAGGGGTATCAACTCACAAATAATTTCACTAGTAGGGGTTTGACATCACCTTTAGCGCAGTGGATGGAGAGCGGTACACTAAGGACGTAGAGCGACAGAAATACTGATGCAGGCGTGATGAGATATAGCATCAATATCAATGAAGGAAGAGTTTCCGTGCATGATGGCCTCTTTACATTCCTCTGCCTCTCTAAGCTCACCATGTGGACTTTACTTATGAAACTCGTTCCTGGGCCTCATTCGTGAATGTGTAGACCAGAAATAAAGCCCAGTTCGTAGATTGGATACTAATATCGCAAATGAGGACAGCAGGAAACATCTCACCCCTCCCATCCAAGTGTTTATTGAGACAGTTAGTTATCTTATTTCCACGGCGAATTACCTCGAGGATCTCAAGACCATATATGCCCTTGTTAGAGTGATTTGATGACATACAGATATCTATTGATTTGCTAGTTCAGTCCCTCCACCATTATCTAAGTTTGGTATATGTTCTTTCCCGGGAATCTGCCTGGTCCCTTTGAGGAGCATGACGGGAATAATTCCCAAAGGAAACTTAATATTGCTCCTTGGTCATTTATGGAGAAGTGAATATTAGCCAATTAGAATACAGAAACAAAAGGTGGCTTGATATCGTGTAACACGCACATGACAGAGCTCTTTGCCGTACTGTGGTTCTACATTTGCCTCTAGAACCACAAGATTCACATCATATATATAGGTTTGTGTTTAGAACTATATTCTTGCCATTGCCGTACCAGCTGAGAATGCAGAATCTATTTATTAAACCAGTTGGCGTCTTCATCTTCGAGGATACGGAGGACAATGCGTTGCTTGAAGGGGAAACTTTTTGAATTCTTTCAACCTTTTTCTAAGGTTTAACTAAGGTTGAACCCCAGGGTAGAATTGAAGGCTTCAAGATCCAAGCCATTGCTACAAATTCCTTGTTCATACATAGAAAGTTGCGCCGGTCGCTCTCGCTCGCATTCAACTTTGTGACTGCATCTGCGAAGTCAAGGTATGTGTGTAAACCTTCTATTTACCTTTCGATATGAGGTTTGGGTCTTGGGTCTTTTTAATCCACTGCGTCAGGGTGGCCATAACGCACATGGCCCAAAACCGTTTCCTCATAGCTTTTTAAGTTGGCCCAGCTTTTTCTTCTTCTTCTTCTTTTTCTTTCTTAAATTGCACAATCTAGTTAGCGATTTCTTCTTTAAGTATCGCGATATCTAAATCGATGTTTATCAAGATGCTCTTATGTGCCGACATGCAGCAAGAACACGGGTTGAGCACCGTTGAATAAGCATCATAAAGAGCGCTATCTATAAAATCCAATGGAGTTTATCTTTGTCTACGGCTGTTCTCTACTTCCAGGACTGGATTGAGAGATTGGGGCGAATTTAGCCGCAACTTTGCCCGTACTGCAAGTTAGTACCTATCTCCTTCACTGGATCGTGGAGGCAGCTCGTGGCGTCCAGGACTCGATATGTATACGATTCTGCTGACCAAGAGTGAATTCGACCCAGCCATATACGCAAGCAATTAGTTGAACAATTCAGATGAGTCAAAGAACTCCAACTTACCAGCCCTCCTGAGAAGATATTAGCTTAACATATATAGCTAATACTCTACTCAGTAGCAAACATTATACTACCTTCCTCCCCTTTAATAACCTTGTATTTGATTCAACATCTACTAATTTCTGTCCTCGTGGGTCATACGCTTCTACGCCTCAGTGTATGCCATCATTCAATGTCAAGTCTCAATACATCAAGTCCGACTGTGGAAAGGGAACTTTGGTGTGGCATTCCCTGTAGCTGGGGGCCATATTACAGACATCCGTCACGCTTATGGCGTAAATCAAGTCCTGGCTCCAGCTCATTCCATCATCTCACCACCAAAGTCGGATTATGCGACCTGACTTGTCGTACGAGTCCTTATCACAAAAATCGCTTTGGAGGTTCATCGGTGGGATTCAAAGTGCCATTGTCAATGCAAATGATATCAGTGGGTAATCTCGCTATTCAATGATGCTAGGACTTCTCAACATGATCGGCAACAGTTGTTGAACACAGTCCATCGATCGCTCACGTCTTAGCAACCACCACCGTCGCCGCCGCCGCCGCCGCCTCCATCTCCACTGCTCCCCCCATCACTACCGCCGCCGTTGCCACCGCCTCGCGAGCCCTTACTTGAGGAATTGCCCATGATCTCGATGTCTCGTAAAATCTTTGTTTGAGGTGTCGATGTGGTTTTAACTTTTCTGCCAAAGGATTAGATCCCGAGGATGGTGTGAAGGGGTGATGCGCCGCAGGCTGACTTACGTCAGCTATACTGATTATAGCAACCAACACGTTTTACTCAGTGGTTAGAGAGAGGAATGCGCCGACATCAATAGAGGACGTGAAGGGCGCGGGCTTTTATATTAGCAGCACCTGGTGATGTGCACCCTCAGGATGCGTACACCGCCCTGTTGCCTGGTGCTAAGCCGGGCACATGATTGTCGTGCAGCTGTATCGCCCATAAAACCGGAGCCATCTCTCAGCCGCAGAGTCGCCCGACGATAGAGCATGACGTAGGTTCAACGTGGCGGGATCTACGGCCAAGGCGCTACGATCGATCAGAGATGGCTTGTCTGCATGCACGATTACTTCACGAGGCAGATTGGTGGGCGGTTGATTAGGTGATGATGTCTGGTGGTGGTCCAGAAGATGTGGTTTTATTCAGTGGTGAATGAAATTTTGTGTAATCCACCATAACTCCCCGATGAACACAAATTGGTATCAGATACATGGTATCGTGGGGCTCCGTTAATGTAGTTAAGGAAAGACTAAGAATAAGAATAGAGAAGAGGTAAATAGAAGAAGAAAAGAGAAGAGAAGAAGAAGAAGAAGAGAAGAAGAAAAGTAAAAAGAAGAAGAAGAAGAAGAAGAAAAAGAGAAGAAAAGAAAAGGGTAAAATCTCCAACCATTCCAACACCCCACCCCGTGAATGTTTTGTATGCCCGTAAGGAAACGCTAATGTTGATCAAGACGATAGGAAACACTGGTGATCATGATGCCAGCACATCACGACTTGATGATCTTGTGATGGATCGAGTTCCGGTTCGGGTTCACGACCCCCTGCATCGACTCCCGGTGGCTCATCGACTCCCGCAGCATCGACGTCCGCTGCACCTTGACGCTCCGGTTCATCGAGTTGCGCTGCACGTCGGCCTTGAACTTCTCCAGCGCCGCGGTGGAGAAGTTGTCCCAGGTGACGCTGTCCTTGCAGTTGAACGACTTTGTGTCGGACCTCCTGCTGCAGAGGGAGGCGGTGTCGGACGCCCCGTCGTAGTACTGGGACTCGGTGTTCTTGGCCACGACGGTGTAGATCATGGCGACGGAGGCGACAACGGTCCATCCAACAACAAGGACATCGACCAGCCGGCGCCAATTGCCGTCCAGGGGGAAGTCGTCGGCCTTGTGCCCGTCCGTGTCCATCAATACGGCCTGCACGACGCTGACAAGCTGGCGAATGAATGTCAGGCCGTAGGCAAGGGCAAGCACGATAAAGTCCTACGTCACAACGTTAATATGCCAAGTCTTCGTATCTAGTATTAGGCGGGAGCGGTTACTCACGGTCTCGTGAAGGATCACGCGGTAGAGCATGAGAGCGAGGACGGCGACCATGGAGAACACGGCGATGAGGACGGCGATGACGAGTTCGAGCTTCTCAGAGACGTCCCCGAGCTTTGCCACGTCGGGCTTGACGAGGGCGACTTCGTATACGACAAATCGGGCCATGTTGAGCATCATGGACACAGCGTAGACACCCCAGCAAAAGTATCGGTAGATCGGGGTCTGGTCGGTATCTTCGAGGGTGATGACGAGTTCGAGCTCGGTGTAGACGATCGAGGCGAAGGTGGTGAAGCCGATCAGGGTCTTGACGCCCTCGAGGTGGTACAGCGATGAACGGAGATCGTACGGCGTCGGACCGGCCACTTGGACGTGGGTAGCAATGCTCAACTCGGCCAACCAAACAGCAATCCATCTACAATCAACACATCAGGTCAGTCGGCTTCGATCTTGGCGCGCGGGGCGGAGGCTGTCGCTTACACTCCCACTAGGACGGTCGTCGTTCGGATCCAGAGGAGACCGCTGCGGGCGGATTTGCTGGCTGCGCGCAGATGCATGAAGGCGAGCAGGCCATACGGCACGATTGCCACGAGCGCCAGCGCCAGGAAGACCAGGCTGGCGTAGAAGTACTTATCCTCTGAAGCCATTGTGTGTGTGCGTTGTTGTTTGCGGGGGCGGGCGGAAGAAACGAAAGGAAATCAATCTGCTGGTGTCGAAGTCAAAGGGAAAACAACTGACCAGCAGTGAAGGTGCAGAAAAGAAGCAACAGCCACTTGAGAAGAGAAGAAAGGAAAGGAAACGAGGAGAGAGACAAAGGAACTAAGGAAATACTCAGACCCAAGGAAAAGAAATGGTTTCAACAGTCAGAGACACATCTCGCCATTCCGAAGCAGCTCGCGGCCGGAGGCGGGCAGCATATATTAAGAGCACCTCTGCGGCACTCACTGGCCCAGCAGGGAAACAGTGGGGGACTTACTCAGGCGATCCCTTTCGAGCCTAGACGAGTGAGTGTGCATGGGAGAGACAGACTGGACCGGGATGACGGGCAGCACCTCGTAGCACCATGTGCGCACTCTAAGACTGCGGCGCGGGGACAGGCCGGTCCCGACTCCCGATCCTCTTCTCTGTTTTGCAAGGGACTCGTGCCTAATCTTAGGCCGTGCACCGGCCAAATCGCGTCTGTGGGCGGCGATGTGATGATTGCTGAGAGGCCGTCAGATGAGCCATCGCGCGCTGCTATTCGCTGTTTTTCGATCAGTCTGCATATTCCCATGCATGCCAGGTCCCCAACCGACCCTCCACCTCGGCTGCCGGTGCCTGCTTCTAGAGTTTTGCGTGAGGGTCTCATCAGTACTGTCTCCTTGTCTGAGCGCCGATGGTGATAGTACTCGTGTTTTATTTTATTTATTCTCTTCATCCGAAACAAGCTGCACATCAACGTACCTGCAGGAGCCCACATCTACCTGCCAACTCACTTACTTATCAATTCTTACAGAGTACTTCTGCAGCTCCACGCTGGATGGCCCTGTCTGTCTCATAGCGTCGGTAATGATCCTGGCCAGCTACTACCCGAATGTCCGAGTGCGCGGTGATGAAGCCAGAAAGCATCAAAACCCCTACTAGTATCACAACTACCCGTGTCCTATCCAAATTCCACTGCCTGGTTGCTCTGGATCGTCGCCGGTAGCAACGGTCGACCGTAGATTAGACTGGCCGCTTGGCTCTCACTGGCCTGGTTTGGCGTCCGTCCTGTTGAAAAATTCTGGACCCTGAAGCCGGCGCCTATATTTAGACGCATCTCCCCTGTAGCCAGAGCTGCTTGCTGTGCGATGTAAGCCCAATCAACTGGTACGCGAAACACTCCCCTGAAGGCCCTCCAGCATCGTTTAGATTGATTCACCAGTGATTCATGGGGGTAGTAACACGCTCCCACTTGCCGCTCGATGCAGCTTATTCCCGCAGGAGCAGTAAATGGACTTTCGGGCCAACTCGAGGCTACCTCAAGCGAGGGCTGGCTGTTTTGTTCCCAGGCCCTAGCAAACATGTCTGACCTGTGCTATTGTGATTGGCCCCCATCCTTACACGTCACTCTAAATAGCATCCAGCTCTTGAGGGGTCACCGTGGTTCTCGGGACCAAACCAGCAGGTCGATTCTCAACATCCTCATTCCAACGACCTGGAGTGGTTATCTAACGATCTGGTGATCCCCAGAGAAGAATATCTTGCATATTGTACTCGAAGGCAGCAGGTGGGAGTGACAGGACTGTCTCAGCCCAGCCGCACTCATAGCCGAGGATCTGATCTGACTGTCATCCACGATACAGATGGAGGCGGTGCCGCCATCCAGTGAGTGAGCACCTCAACCTCAAGATCAGTCAATCAGACCGTTTAGCCGACAGCGACCCAGAAGTCTCGTTGTGCCCGAACACCGAAATTAAGAAACCGTCAAACAGGAAAATAATCGACGATTATATAAACAGCCCTGTCTGCGCTCTGGGCATTTGGCTCTGGGAGCAGGGATGACTCTTCCCACCCTTTCGGCTTTCGAGCCCGCCTGAGGACGGTCTCTGCTGATGGAAGCTCTGCTCTTGTGGGTGTTGCTCCCCAACAAGTTGCTGGAGGAATGGAGTGGGTCCAGCGCGTTGATTGAGTGCAATTTTTAGCATCATTCCCAGCGCGACCCCGGTCCATCAATCATCAATCATCAATCATCTCGTGAATCTGCCGTCGCGCGCGCAATGCCACATTAGGTCAGGTGCAAGCCACAACTATCAGCCACACATACTAGCCACAGTTCTAGCCACAGACACCAGCTGTAGACACTAGCCACAGCCTTTTTTTCAATCTGAGTCCACCTACCCTATAGATAGGCCACTCCATCATGATGTTTGGGCATCAACACGTGGCTATGTTGTGGTTTTGGGGGTTTATCCTCTCAATTTAGCAATCATCACCTATAGATTGATATAAATTCTGTTGGATTTATGCATGATACCCCTGTGGTGAAGGCCCGTGATAAGATGCGAAACACCGCACGTAAGAAACACGAGGTTACATCTAATCACTCACACCAATCTCAAGAAAAGTTACTCGGAGCCAGGCACAGGAACTTGGGATGAAGAAGAAAGGAGTCCACAAGATGCAGTTAAAAATCGATGACTAATAGAGACCCCAAAGCCCAAATGAATTTAAATACCAGCCAGCCATGCAGCTAATCATAGTACACGTGGCCCAGGAATGTCTTTCCACGCTCCTTCACTGAGTTCAAGTCATGTGTGCAGACTCAGGTTCCGTCCATGTTACCCAATAAGGCATCACTGGAAAATGGTCGGATGGAGGGAAAGGAAAGCACAACGGGCGCAGTTTCCTGATGGGAATGTTGACTCTTTGTTCTTTGCTGGTCGTGTAACCCCAGTTCAATTATCCAAACTCTCTAGTTTAGTTACTTCTGCCCGAGATCCCGTGTGTGAACAAAGGCCGATAGTTCAGTCATCAGCATTGTTCCCCAACGCTCTCAAAGTAGCTGTATATAAAGAGACAGACTTGGTAGATCTTGTTAGCTCACATCTCCCCATCGGCTTTTGCTCGATGAGCATTCTCAACCCAATATACCCGCGACTGGGAGTGTACGGCCCGAACTCTTGATTATCATGTGCAGATATTCGTTTTCTGGGTATGGCGACTACTCACTGCCACGCCGGGGCGCCGTAGCCGTTCCGGGCATTCCTCTGTTCCATCTCGCGCCGGCCAACTATGACGCTAGAAAGGTTGTCACCTCCCACATAAACTCCGGGTTCCGTGCCAGCGAGAGAGTAGAGGAGGAGATCGGGACTCCAGCACTCTCTGTCGGGTTCATTCCTTCTGCAAAAGGCGGTAAAACTATCCTCACTCTAGGGCGCAAGGGCGACATCATCGTCGAGGGTGGGGATATTTCCGATGTTCATTGTTCCTTCAAGATTAATCCTGAAACTGGAGTGGTGATGCTCCATGACAAGTCACAAAATAACACAACACACGTGCGCGGTCACGCTTTCCAAGGGGGAAGATCTCGCAAGGTTGCCATGACCCCTGGAAAGTATGAATTTTTCAGAATCGGCCGTCATCGCAGTATCAAATTCAAGTTGGTATGGTTCGGCCATGTTGAGGAAGCTTTAGTAAGTGGCAAGGTCCTCTTCACGGTTCGAAATCCCGATGCGCACGTTGAGTCTCGGCCATTACCCACAGAGATCAACAGGTGGGCCAAGGCTGGAGTTCTGGGCTCTGGACGCTACGGGATAGTGCGCAAGGTAATCGACCTTGACACTGGGGCCGTGGTGGCCCTCAAAACACTCAAGAAGCCCAAGAACCGACCGGAACGGCTTGCCAAGTTTCTTCTTAGGAAGTTTGCTAAGAGCGAGGTGAAGAATCTGGCAAGATTGAGACACCCACACATCGCCAAGTTCATCTCAGCCAGTGGCTTGGATGGGCCAAGGCCAGAAATCTTCTTGAGGATGGAGGAAGGAAGTCTGGCCTCACTACTCTGCAACACCAAAGGAATGGAAGAGCCCTCAAAGAGCGAGAGACTCTTGAAAATCGGAAAATCGGTCATGAAACAGATGCTTGAGGCTTTGCATTACTTGGATACCAAAGGAATCGTCCATCGCGATGTCAAGCCCCAAAACATCCTGTATAGCACAACACCAAAGGGAAGGTATTGTTTCGTTCTTTCTGACTTTGGTAACAGCAAGGACGCGTCTGTCTTCTCGCGCAGCTGGCTATCCGCGGGGACTACGATATTCATGGCGCCAGAGGCATTCGAATACTGCGTCAAGTGGACGACCAAGGTTGATGTCTGGGCGCTCTATGTGACCATGCTCGTGGTATATGATATAGACGGTTTTGCTAAGGACTGCTTGAAGTGCGATAACCACCACCAAATCCATGACCTGGTCCGCAAGATCAAGTCGAGGAAGCACTCGCTCATTGAGCCGTTCAGAAAGATGGCGTCTTGGAATCCTGAGAAACGGGCCACGGCCAGGCATATTCTCAAACAGTGGCCAGCTATCACATGGCCCCATGTTAATGAAGAGGCAACACTGTCCGATGGAACAGAATCTGACATGAGCGGGAGTTATTACACGGCATATAAGGGATATGGATCTGGTAGAACGGCGTCTGATGGATCCATGTCTGATCAAACGCTCTCAGACACATCCATAGAGACACCCCGCTGGAGACCTCATACGATGCCGGCTACTCTTCAGGACAGTGTTCGGCAGTCGCAGAGGGACTTTTTCCGCAAGTATCAAGTCGTTGATTCAGACCCATCTTACGATACTTGGCCAGAAACGGAAAAATCAAAGACTCCACGCCGGTATACCGTCAAGTCCTTCGGGGCGGCGGCCTTTGACGGACCCCGAAGGACTTTGAATTCACGAGGCGTGCCTGATAGACGCTCTTGCAATCTCTAAGAGATCGTTTTTTGACGAGCTATTTCGGGGCGAGTAATCACTTGATGAGGATGGATCGAAGGCGTATGATCGTTTGTATTTGTTGTTGAATGAGGCCTGAACGGATATAGAAGCTTACCTTAAGTAAGACTTCGGCGAGCGAGAAAGTGGAGGACTGGGGGGTTACTGAGGATGCTACGATTCCTATGGTAACTCCCATGACGTTTAACTGAGGGGGACTGATCGATGGTCAATCGGCGCATGGAATGAAACAAGAAAGAGGTTGGGTAGTTTTAAGGCTGGCACTTGAAGCCTTCCTCTACCGAAGCTCTGGTGGACCATGTCTCTTGGCTGATTGCTTTCTGGTGGAAATAAAAGCTGGATGATTTTATTCTAAGTTGACAAAACCATTTCCTTCCTTCCTGTTGACTCCTTGTTTCTTTTTATTAAAAAAAAACACAAATGAAGATGTAGCCTTGATTTTAGATGCCATCGTGACCCTGTTTATTCTCAAAGAGATCCATACGTCGAAAGAGGAAAGCTCGCAAAAACACAAGCAAAATCAAGGAGAGGAATAAGATTTATCATTGGAACCGAGATCTAATCGCTAATACTACACGTTCTATCATTAAATGGTACAAAGTTGGTTGTTGCTGTGAGTGTAGCTCCTCGAATAGTTGGCGAATCGGCCAGAAGCTTAGACACCGAGCCTTTGCGCCTCACACATCTTGGTGTACATTCCACCCTGCTGCAACAGTTCGTTATGAGTGCCCACTTCGGCAATCCGCCCTTGATAGAAGACGAAAATACGATTCGCATCCCTGATAGTGGACAGCCTGTGCGCAACTGCGATAGTGATGCGATCTCCCGCCTTAGCTGCTGTCATAAGAGCGCCTTGAACCACCCGCTCGGACTCGGTATCGAGTGCACTCGTAGCCTCATCGAGGAGAATGACGTTCGGATTTCTCACCAGAGCCCGTGCGATGGCAATACGCTGTCGCTGGCCGCCTGAAAGCTGACTTCCGCTGGTGCCACACGGGGTTTCGAGGCCTTCCGGGAGGGAAGACACAAAGTCCCAGGCGTTGGCTGCCCGACAAGCTGCCTCGATTTCTTCGTCATGGCTCCTTTCACCTGCCGGGTTATCAATCCCGTTGGCGATGTTTTCCCGTATAGAGCCTGGGAAGAGAGTAGGCTCCTGCTGTACGAGCGCGACGTGCTTTCGGTAATGATGAGGGTTCATTTCAGATAGGGACTGCGCCGAGTCGATGACTATAGATCCACTTGCAGGATCGTAAAACCGTTCTAGGAGGGATATCATCGTGCTCTTGCCACAGCCAGATGCACCTACGAAGGCGACAAACTCCCCGGGGCGGATCTACCAAGCAGGAAAATAGATTAGAAAATCGAAGACCAAGGAATCAGTTGCATCAACGGCCTTACATTCAGAGATACTCCCTTCAGAACTGTATTATTTGGCGCTAATGGGTATGCAAACTTGATGTTTTGTAAGTCGTAAGAGCTGCATCCATTCTGCGGAGCGACATCCCGATTTTCGTCGGTTTCTCGGATGGTTGGTTGTAATCCCAATAACCAGAAGTAATGGTTCACTGCTTGGTTTGCCTTCGTGAAACCTGTAGACGGATGAGCTTAGCCCAAGGGTGTAATCCTTGTTTGAACTGGCATTGACTCACTGCTTGAAAAGCTAAACATTTGGCCGGCTCCCTGGCCGCAAAAGTAGATAGCCATGAACGAAACAGTGAATTCGTAGAAACTGACTTTCCCTTCACCGATAAGTTTTGCTCCCCACCTATCGTAATCCTCTTGGTCAGTTCAATAGTACCAACATGGGGCGTGATGCATTTGATCAGCTTACCAAAAGCCGAGGGCAAGAATGAAATATTCAATGGACTGGGTTAGTGCAAACCAGATCATCATGAAGAACATCCTTGGGGCGGATTTGCTAATGGCCGTATCAAGCTCGTCGCCATAAAGATTCAGCACGCGTTGCTCGATAGCGAGGGACGAAACGGTTCGAATGGCGTTAACGGTTTCCGAGGCCAATGAAGAGCTCGCAGCCAGCCCTTTGCCCATGTCGCTCTCAATCTTCGCCTCGAGGCGGATTCGAGCGTATCCAGCGAGAAGGAGTGGCGGCAGACCCACGAAAACTCCAACTACACCGACTCTCCAGGTCACTGCAAGTGCCAGAATGGCGCTGATGAGTACCATGGCCCCGGATAAGAACACCATACCCATATTCATCCCCATTAGCTCCAGGATGGCTTGGGGGTAGGAGTCAATTCGACTGATGATGGCGCCGACCGTATTCTCCGGCCGATCGAAAAAGCGTAAGTCCTGCTTGATAACCGAGCTCAACATTTCTTTCCGGACACGTCTATTGAGTGACTGAAATGGTCCCAAAGAATCAGCATTCTCTTCATTTTGACCCAAGGATTAAGGGAGTGGACTTACCTGCGCTATGATATTCGTCGCCCAGCCCATGACAAAGTAGACGATTAAGCTGGCAATTGCCATGATGAAGAACATGAGTGCGTAGAAACTTCCACGAGAGACCATGTTTGGAGAGTTCGTGACATCCAGGACATTTCCAAGGAGAATGGCTTGAGCGGGAAAGATGGCACCTATTGGTTTGGATTAGCTGCGTTCTCTTTATTCTCTCGAGATATTTCCACATTGGAACATACCGCCAATCGCGCTGGTGCCGAAACTGACGATGTACCAGATTGCCAGCTCAGGTGTTTTCATAATCAAACGAGTTACGCTTCGCATTAGCCCCATAGGCTTATGAAGGTCATAATCTTCACGATCTTTCAACAACTCCAAGTGTTCAACATCCTTGGTATGAACTTTGCTGAGGGACTGGCGAAGCCCGAGCTTTGTCTCCTCGACGGCATCTTCGTCGGAGCTTGATTCATCTGCGGTGCTCTCCGGGGCAGCTGAGAGATCCTGAGCGTGAACAAGGCTGGAATACAAGCCGCCGGAGGAGACCAATTCTGCATGAGTGCCTTGTTCAGCGATTCCGCCAGTTGACATGACAACAATGTTGTCTGCATTGCGGATGGTGGACAGTTTGTGGGCTATCGTAATCGTGGTACGATTTTGAGAGGCGTTGTCTAATGCTTGCTGCACGATGCCCTCAGCCTTGGGGTCGAGGGCGCTTGTTGCTTCATCGAGCAGAAGAATTTTCGGTTCAGAGATTACGCTCCGAGCGATGGCGATCCTTTGCTTCTGCCCACCTGAGAGAAGTCCACCTCTCTCGCCTATCCTTGTATCGTATTTTTGTGGCAACTCAAGAATAAAGTCGTGCGCAAAGGCAAGCTTTGCGGCGCTTTCAACTCGTCGGACCTTCTCTTGGGTAGAACAGTCCTCCCATTCGGTTCCGACTAAGCCGTTGGCGATATTTTCAAACACCGTTGTGTTGAACAAGACAGGTTCCTAGTTCCAAATCAATATTGATACGCATCAAGGATTAGTTCGCACAATTCAATCAAGCTTGCGTACTTGCTGGACAAGCCGAATGTTTGTCCTCAGCCACTTCAGGTTCAACTGGTCAAGCTCGGTCCCATCTAGTCGGATGCTGCCGGAAGTTGAGCTGTACCATCTCTCGAGCAGTCCAATAATTGTGCTTTTGCCAGACCCGCTTGGCCCCTTTGAATGATATTAGCGAAGTTTCCGAGGAGCTTTCCTTTTATTCAGAGCTTACCACAAGAGCAGTGACCTTGCCTGCTGGGATGTGAAGGCTGAATTCTCGCAGGACAGTAACTTCTGGGCGGGAAGGGTAACAAAATGTTACGCCCCTCATGTCGATGGACCCTTCAACAACGCTCGGTCGCTCACCCTGTTCATCAAAAGGGTCTAGTTGAGATTTCCTATCAATCAGGGTGAATAGCTCGGCGGCAGCGGTCGCCGCACGGCTAAAAGCGATCGTATGGGGAGCTATAGAGGCAATCATCGTCGCCGCAACAATGATGGAAAAAACGACTCTGCTCGAGGGTTAGCCGGATTCGCGGAGTCGAGTCATATGAACTGACGTGAAGACGGTGCCAATTTCCGCAATTTCTCCTCTTCCCATCATCTTGATGCCTTGCCAAAACGCGAGACCGATTCCGGAATTGACAATGAAGAATTCTGCGCCGAAAAGAACCCCGTAGATCATGTTTTTCCTCATCCCACGCTTGTAGGCTCTGTCGAGGAAGTCCTCATACTTGACACCCACATGATCCCAGAGCCTGAAGGCATGTACAGTCCGGATACCCGCGAGCACATTCTCGGCGTAGCTCCCAGCCTGTCCGTATATCTTTAGAATACTCGTCTCGATCCCGGCATCTACGGTAGATGCGGCAACGATAGTCAAGAATATGGCTGGGATGATGCACAATGTGATCAGCGTTAGTTTCCATTGGCTGATAAAGGCAATGACGAAAGCTGCCGCAAATGTCGAGGTAGCTTGTACACAGAGACCCAACTTTTCCGTGATCCCAGCCTGTATTAGCTTGCCATTGGAAGTTGCCTGCATTGATACGGATCCCGAATGACCCCCGTCAAAGAACGCAATTTCTTGGCTTAGAGCAGCGCGGAGATAGCTGTGCCGGATGTTTCTGGTGAGGTGGTAGGCGACGTAGGTGAAGAGCGAGGCGTAGATGTAAGTGAAAACAAACCGAGCAATGCCGATGTAGACAAAGCGAAGCCTGAGGGAGGATAGATGAGTATTAGCAGTTTAAATTGAGCGGAACGTTTTGGCCGTGGGACACTCACGCGGCTGAGCTCACCCGCGACATAAAGTCGTCCGGTATTGAATCTCCAGAGGTGACTTCGATAAGCAGGTTGATGAAGTCTCCGAGAACGATATTGACAAGCGCCAAGGCAATACCTGATCCGATTGCGGCCAGGATTCCAAGTAATTCAAGCACATAGTCGCTTGGTGAGCCATACCTGAACACTCTCTTTTATTGAGGAGATGTATATTAGTATATGAATAAGAAAGGGCTTGATCATTTTCACGTAAGAACCTAGGGCCGAAAGACGTACGAAAAATCCACTGAAGGCTGAAACTTGGTCGTTGGAATTCGAGTGATCCTCGACAATGGGATTGGCTGCAGTATCCTGCTTCTCGTTTTCTTGCTCCATCTTGGTAATTAAAGATTCCCCTAATAATCAAGGAGAAAAAAATAGAAAATGAAAAGCCCTCTAGGGCGAGTTGGGAAAGAGGCACGATGCAGGCAGAATCAAGTTTGTTTTACCTTGACAAGAAATTAGGAGACAGTGAGCGCGTAAAATAAATACGGGGAAAGCCACAGTGATAATGAGTCAAATATTAAATCAAATTACACATGCTACATTTCTACTTCGTGTTTGGCAATAGATAACTGTCAAATTGTATCTTCGGCGCCAGATGGGACAAAACCGCCGATGACCAAGTATCTCCATCGTCATAGCACCAGACAGGCTTCGCTGCCAAGCGGGTTACTAATTACTAATTATTCTAGTGGCCAGTGCAAGATGATTACGGGGTCGCCGGTCAATGAGTCAAATGTTCCACAACCGGCTTCCTCGGGCTCCGAACGAATAAAAGCGTCCGCGTCATGGTGATCATTGATGCACTAACGGCATCCGGAGCCCATCAAGCTCCGTTCCCCCCCTATCTTCCCTCCTAATTTTATGTCATCTGCATCACTCCTCTCGGCAGAGTTGTCCCAGAGTCGCCGTACTGGTTTTACTCCTCGCTCAACCATCGAGGTCCATCATTTGGCCCCTTGCCTCTCTGATATCCTCGATAGAGCCGGAGACCGGGCGGAATCTTCAAGGGAAGGCCCACCTAAAGATATGGACAGACGCTTGGAAGACACGGAACAGGCCCAAGATGCTCCGATGGAGGCCCAAAAGCTGGCTGTGCGTGGCGATATCGACTAATGAAGAGAACTAGGAGCTAATAATCGAACAGTGTGACCGCTGTCGTCAGCGCAAGGTTAGTGTACCTCGAATTCTTTCAGACCTATTGAACCTCCAGGCCATTGACCCCCTTCAGACCAGGTGCAGTCGTGGCCTACCATGTGCTCAGTGTACGAGGGTAAAGGCCCCGTGCTCCTATGAGCAAGGCCAAAAGATTAAACCAAGAAGACAACGTGTGAGAGTCTCGGATAACCTGTACGCTTGTCAGACAATGAAACAAATATGCCTTCGACTCACAATTTTGCAGAGAAACCAACATCAGTCACATCATGGCTCGTCTAGATGACCTTACTGAGATCGTGACTGAAACCCGTTCGCAAGTGGATGAAATATTGAAAACATCCCAGAAATTGACACCGAATATTGGTTGTCCATCGATGAACACATCGCCCGTCGCGGCCTCGGTCCCGCATCTCGGAGCAGAAGAAAGCATAGATCCTTTGGCCGACTCTCCCAAGACAGAGTATGAAGGCGAATCTTCCTTATTTGGGCACGCTCAATTTGCCGCCACGTTTCTCCAAAACGCGATAGGCGGAAATCCGGGCTCTGAAGTGAGAGGCGAGATGACTTTGGTACTGGAAACCTTGCATGATATTGTCAAGTCACAAAAACAGAAGTCGGATTCCCTAGATACTGTTTTCCCCCACGCAAGGTTACTTCCTTCTAGTTCCGATCTTCGAGACCTTTCTCTTCCCCCAATGGAGAAGATATTCGGCTGTCTTCGAATGGCCCAGGGTATGTATCTGACACTTTGGAAGTGGCATTAAGCTCACTGACAGAAGTTGCATCAACAGAGGACCGCTTCGTTTTCGGAATGTGGATATACGAGTTTCGAAATCTAGACCAGTTCACGCACTACGTAATTCGGATATGTTCCCCAGGCCCGCCAACTGAACTGGAACAAGTAATCGTCTTTGCTGGCCTGTACTGGCTGTTTTGCGAGTGCTCGAGCATAGTCGAAGATGCTGCCGTGAAGAAAGATTACGAGGAGCAAGCGTTCCTTTGCCGAGACAACCTCGAGACTGTCCTGCTGAACATTCGCTTCCATGTTCCTTCCAGTCTGGACCTGGTATATGCCATGAGCATGGCTGTAAGATGAATAATTCTTTCCAACTTTTTGCGTAATTTGAACGCTGACGGTTAGCAAAGGCAACATACTGCTTGCAAATCTCGAAAATATCAATGGCTTGGATGTACATTTGCACCGCTGTCCATAGCGCGCAAACCCTTGGATACCACAGCGCTGTTCCTGTCCAGCCTGAGTCAGAGGGAAAGAAAAGTCAGACCACGTGGTTATTCTGGGCCATCTACTCAACCGAGAGATTACTGGCGTTACGTACTGGCCGATCATCGACCGTCCGAGACCAGGATATAACCATCCCGCCCGTGCAACCAAGCAACAACTGCGATACCTATCTTCGTGCAGTTTTTCCAACGTGGATAAAGACTGCACAAATTCAAGGGAGTCTCTATGATGATCTGTACAGCCCCGGTAGCCTTTCGAAGCCGGAACACAGCCGTGTATCGCGAGCATATGAGCTGGCTGCAGAGATCAAAAAGATCATGGACATTGAGACTGAAGTGCAGGTTCGTCATTTTCTGTTTATACCCGGAGGCCCCAGGCATGAAATTTTCAATAGTACGTCCATACCTAGAACCTGTGGCTGACTCTCACAGCGGAGGTTTATTGAAGCTTGGGGACTGAATTCTCAGCGTGGCCCCAATTCGCTGATTTGGAAAATTGACCGCGTTATCAATTTGTCTACACTGACTCTTGTGTATCGCAGCATCAAGCCAAATGCCCCCGGACGAAGCATATCGGACGAGTGTCTGGAGGCCGCCAGAGCTGCCATGTCTGATTTGAACACGACGCTGGTCTTATTTAGCAGAGAAGCCAAGAACTCAATTGGCGCGAGCCTTCATGTCAACTGGTGCGTCGGAATCCGCATGCAAATGCTTACTCGAAGGATCGATAGCTGTATTCATTGATGTATGTGCTAATCTGATTTGCAATAGGTCACTTGTCCAGGCCCCATTTGTGCCATTCATCACCCTCTTCTGTCACGTCATTGAGACGTCTGAAGCCTCCGACCTCGAGTATTTACGGGATTGTATTGACAGCATAGAGACGATGGTTGCATGTGTCGAGGATGCCGCACCGAAGAATTATCTCCGTCTGTTCAGGGCGTTATACGACGCTGCCGTCAGATACCTTGATGCGAGGTCGAAATCAGACCAGGCATCGGGCCAAACAGATCTGTCTCCGTGGACTTCCGAGAATTCTCTAAATGCCACAGCAGTGACGCAGGGTTCTGGGATCGTGCCCTTCACCCTGCCCCAGTTTCCTCAACCTGACTCTGGCGACTATCACCAGACGCCAAGTAGCATCGTCGCTCCAAGCACTCTAGAGTCCCAAGAACAACTCTCCCTTGGTCTCTTTGGAGCAGGTGTGGACCCTCAAAGTTCCAACCTTGGAAGCTGGTATTATAATCATCATCAGCTGATGCGGATGTTGGACGATATGTAAGAGGTTTACACAAGTAGCCTGCAGGCAACCGTTAGTATCTTGCTATGCTGTAGCACGGTTAGTGCGTAGCTAGATTGATCTTTATCTTGAGTCTTAACTTCAACGGGATTGAATTCGAACCACAGTGCTACTCGGACGAGAATATGTCACCCAGGAAGCATCAGTTGCTGAGTAACGTTGCACATACGACAGGAGTGTAGGGTAACTAGATTACTTAACCACGAGAACAGGTGCCGGGTTAAAAAGTTGCGTTAGATCAAAATCCCGCACCCTGGAAGTAGCATCGGACGTCCTGGGTTTCAAACCATCCGCCCTCATACTCCTATCCAAGGAAGATCCAACGGCTGGTTGAGGGATGAGTACTGAAGCTACAAGCACTCTGGTCTCCGTTTAGGCTTACGCGTCTAAGAAAATGGCATTACCGCCTGAAATCGTTTCTCATATTGTCTCGCAACTGCTGGAGCCTGTCTGCATGCCATACTGGTCGAAGGAACTCGATGGCGACAATGGCTGGGAGGGTTTCAAGCAGTGTGCGCCTTCAAGGATAGTAAGCTTCGAGAAGAAGGGGCCCTATTGGCTGTCGGGTTATTCAGAATACGAGATGACCTTCTACAACGTGGACATCAATCTCAGAACGCTCTTGAATCTCCGCCTAGTGTCCCATGAGTGGAACATGGCTTCCACTGCTATTCTGCGGAAGCATCACTGGTGGAGAGCGTCTTTGGAGGATGAAGACAGAAGCCTAGAGATGGCTATCAACGCTACATGTGCGGCGAAGACTCGAAGGCTCGTGGGAAGGTTGTTGATTCCACACATAAATCATTCAATGAGATACCAGAGATCCTGCAGAGGAGCAGATCAAGAAACTGGTCAACCAAACTACTACGACCGGCTCTTTGACCAGCAGGATGCAGCATTTCCTTTGGCCCCGGAGAATAACGAGCTAACGCCACCTTATTCAGCCCTGAGAAATCTTTTTGATAACATCGAGGGCATTGAGGCACTGCAACTTTCATATCCAACGGCGTTAGGGCTGCCAATTCAGAGCCAACTCCTTACCGACCCAAAAGCTGAAGTAGATTGCATAGATTTGCAAATCATGAAGAACATAACCGCAACTCTTCAATATGGCTTTCTATCACCTGCCTTGAGCAGTCTGACGGACCTTTCTCTCCACCTTCCCTGCACGCATAATGTCGGAGAAGTAGTTAGTTGCCTGCACCAGACGGCCCGGGACCGCCTCAAACATTTCGACATTGGCATTACCGATCAAACCGGTCAATTTGGAGACAAGTTCACAGTGCGAGATGAAGAGGACGAAGACGCCATTCCTCATGACCACAACGAGTTTCTTCAGAGCCCACTTCAAGATCTCTACCCCAATACAGAGCACCAAGGACCACTTTGGGAGTTCATAGCCGCATGCCCAAATCTTGAGTCCCTTGCGGTGAATGCCACCCACTTTCTGGACCTTGATTATTTGACGGAAAGAAACATTCCAATTTCCAAGCGTCTCAAGGTTCTATGGCTTCATCGGGTATACGCCAGTGTTCCATCTTTGAAAGCCCTGATGGGTCGTAATGGTGAGAAGCTTCCGATTCAACGAGTAAGACTGGATGAAGTCAAGATTCATGTCGATGGCGGCTTTTGGTATGACCTGTTTTCATTTTTGATGGAAGATGGCCACAACCTTGAGTTCGCAAGCTTTGACCAACTGACATACTTTCGGGGCCATCCTAGCTATTATCCGCTCTCGAGGTCATGGAAGAATAACGACGACCTCTGGTCAATGTCTAGGAGGGACAGAGAGTACATCCATAAGTTGCTTCTTAAAGTCACGTCCAAGTATACCTTCCCTTAGTTGATTCCTTTGAATGGCGGTATATGTCATGTGCTTCAAGAAAAAGTAGCATCGGAACTCGAGTCAGATGACCAATGGTAGCAAATCGGGTGCGTTAATGATTATCAGGCATTCATTGTCTTGAGATGTGGGGTCTGGCATCTTTATTGCTGCTTTTTATTTTGTACTCGAACTCTCTCATCCATCCATCCGTAACGATTATCAGGATGAAACAAGTTAAGAGCTGATTATTCACACTGACGTGCAAACCCTCAAGCAATCTTTCCTGCTCCACCCCATATCATTTAACACCGTGTATTTTATACTAGGGAAGCCTGGCCGTGAAAGAGAATGGAGACTTTACCATCGCTAGCGACCATGGGGTGACCACAAAACATACCCACAGCTTATGTATATCCGACCATTCTGCAGGCACTCAACCAGATGGTAACCTACAAAGGCACCTTACTCTTTAACGGCGAGAGTTGTATGAAGTATACTCTCGGTAGTGGGATCAAGACTTCGCAGAGAGTTCAATCAAACTTACCTAAATCCTGCATAATATGGCAGACCTACGCATATGGTTCGGTCATGCCATTTTCCCCTCAATTATCCGATTGGTATGTGCTTACGGGAAAATCTTTGGTCCTAAATATCTAACTACGTCATCTCAATTTCTCAATCAAACCAGGCATTTAATTTTCATCTGCCGATAAATTCGTTCACAGCGAGGGGGTAGCCTGAGAATGCGTCAAACCGGTGATATTCATCTTCTACCAGTTCAAGGGAGATTTTATGCAGTGCTGTGGAATGTGGCTTGGGGTTCTAGTTCTGGCCTGATTGCTATCCGGATTGGGCTGCAGCAAAGGTGGGAAACACAATCGTAGCTCCCTTAGTTGAATATATATCAGGAGAGGAATTCAATGGCCGTGGATGTACACCTTCTCATTTTCGTAGAACGTTAGCCCGCTGGTATTTCAATGAGGGCAGAAGCCCAGCAGGTCATCGTCGGTATACTATCTAAGAGTATGTATGAACGAAGCAGTGAGGTAATTGTTCTGGAGAGGGACTATGTAAACAAAGACAGTTTCGGAAGATTACAAGTACTCGACGAATGTGATCCGAAACCCCCAAGCCACAGGAGCCAGGGTCATGATCCGAGACCAAATAATCTGTACATTGCCCCGATTATGTATCAGTGCAAAAGCGTTCCTATGAGTGCCCAGTTGGGTAGCTGATCGTCATGAAGAGAGGTCGGCAACTTCGATGGCAACTAGGTAATCTCTAGCTATACACTGAGACTCTATCCCTTGAGTTCAGGTGTCACCTATCTCCTATGCTGCCCTGGAGTATTGGGCGGAGGCCTGCAATGCACGGGAGATGAAATATTCGGCACAATTGGAACTCGGTCCGGACAGGATTCATAGTGTGGAAATCTGTACATATAAAGCATGTGCCTCGCACCCTTTTCCATGTCTATAGACTTAATACAATGATCTAAACTCTCTTACACATCGCATTGCACACATCTAATACTCAAGATGCATCTTCTGAATCCCTTTGCGGCTCTCTTCTTGAGCACAACTTTTGCTGGCCATGCAAACGGCGCAGCCGTAACAAGCCAGCTATCGACCGAAAACGCCGACACTCCGTTCACAGATCTCGGCTTATCCGCTCAGTTCTGGGCCAAAATGAGCGCGTATTGTGCCCAGAGGGCACCAAAGCGTGATACCTCCCAATCAGTGACCGAGGCCAGCATGCCCGATGGTTACGATCTGGTTAAGCCCGATGCCTTCAAGTCTTACCCCCAAGTAATCAAGTGGGATGGCGCCTGGACTGAGCATCTAGTGACCTGTTACGGGCTAGTTGTTGTTGGTGACAGTGTTAAGCCGACCGACAAGGACAAGCTGCTGGCTCACTTCTTCGCGATCGACCACTCGATGGATACACTCTGGAATAAGATCAAGGCGGAGATTGGAAGCCAGGGCCAGAAGAACTTGAGGGCTTGGCTGAGCGCGCCGGAGGTTGCCACTGCCTACCCAGACCTACCCAAGGCGGATATACAGAAGTTAGAAGATAAAATGAAGGCAGTTATCAAAAGCTTCACTGGCAAGGACGCGACGGTTAGGCATCACAACATGCAAGATGTACCTAATGGAAAGGGGGATATTGGTACCATGCAACTCAACAACGAGGACAAGTCTGTCAAAATTGACGGCAAACTCGTTCCATTTGGGGGTTAGAAGCTTTCAGTATACCGATACTCATGGCATCCATTGCTTCGAAAGTTTGAATCATGTGGGTTGATGTTGATTAGAAACGGGGAATAAGCTGTATACAAAGCCTGGCAAAGGAAAAGAATGACAACTTCACCCACAGCCATTACTAGCCTGCTGTTCACATGCAATGGGATTTACCATGATGGTTAATGCGATTATGTTTAAATGGGGTAGACGTGGCAAGGCGTAGCCAAGAGAATGTTACCAGACTCCGTGTCCTTGATCACAGGAGGGCATACATGTATCTACGCCGGATGAAACTCTTACTCCTTGAATCATCTAGCATTGATTTACTGCAAGCTACTGAGAATAGGATTAGGGCAAAGAATGGCAAAGTATGTTGAGCACTACAGGGATTAATGCCCAAGGGGGAGTTGTTAGTGTAGTGTCATTGCCGAGGCGCCATTCTCAAGAAAACATGTGAAGTCTCCCACGTGGGCCATTGATCAATTGTAGCACATGAGGAGAAGATATCAACGGGAGCGAGTTCTGATCCAAGTGTTGGGGCTCGGCATGAGTTAGATTTCACCAACCCAACGCTTATGACTTTCTGAGGCATACCTCCTTGAATTCTTTCTCGGCACGCGGCGGAACATGTTTAGCCCAGGTATCGAGGGTCTTCCGTGGATCGGGAATAATTCAGTCGATCATCTCATGATGAAAGGAAAGGGCATTTTCTCCTGGCTACAGAAAGGATCTGGGTTACAGGGATCCAGGGGTTCTATCCCGTGTTCTCCCTTGTAGTCGGGGAAAACAAAACCCCAAAAGCAAAAATGTCAGCCATTGACAATTATGATTTGACAATTCGTCACCCCAATTGAATTACGACCCGGAGAAGGGCAAGTTGGAGGAGTGTGTACGGAACTGATCGGCTTGGAATCGCGTGTTTGACGGCGAGATATCGACCCAGAATTAAGGCTGACTGGCCTGATTCTGTTCCAAACAGGTTTATATTAGATGAGTGGCTCCCAACAAAATGCCCCAACTACTGCCCAACAACCATCTCCACACCTACGACGCTCGAAAGGAATCTGGACGTTGCTCTTTGGTGCACATCCCAGTCACTCAACAGGCTGCGTGCCGCTGTATCCCCGGATTTGATTCCCAACGAGTGTGAATTGATTGGTCTCATGATACGAGGAGTCTACGTAAGTCGGATGTAGAATAAATATAGTATATATGTATATGTGTGTCGCCTTGTGTCCTGCTCGGTCTTCGTAGGAGCGTAATACAGGATATCTTCAGTTTCGATATCCATTGTCCTCGCCTGCTGGAAGGCTCCGTTGATTTCGTTAAGAATTGCATTTCTGTTGCCATATTTTTGTTTCATCCCGATTGGCCCAACCTCAGTCATGGGGACAACTCAGACCACCACCGAGAGTGTGTACGATGGGACTACCGATTATAAGCCCATTCGCTCAAGGGCCTACAATATTGATAAGGTTCATATTTCGGACAAGCCAATGACATGGAGTAATTGGTACCAGCACGTCAACTGGATCAACAGCACCTTTGTGGTCATCATCCCCTTCTTGGGCTTCATTGCCTCCTACTGGGTCCCTCTTCGACTCTACACGGCGATCTTTGCTGTCGTATTCTACGTAAACAGCGGGCTGGGAATTACTGCAGGTTTGTTCTCTTCAGACTATTCATTGCTTGATGATTGGACGGTTGCTAATCATGGAATACCAAAGGTTACCATCGCCTCTGGGCCCATCGCGCGTACCAAGCTTGCCTCCCCTTGCGACTATACCTCGCGCTTTGCGGTGCCTCTGCCATACAGGGCTCCATCAGATGGTGGTCCAAGGGCCACCGTGCCCACCATCGCTATACCGACACCAATAGAGATCCCTACGATGCCCTTCGTGGCTTCATGCATTCTCATATGGGCTGGATGGTCTGGAAACAGAACCCCAAGCGCTTGGGCCGTACCGACATCACAGATCTGAACGAGGATCCCCTTGTCATCTGGCAGCACACGCACTATCTTAAGATTGTAGTCTTCATGGCGTACATCTTTCCCACCCTCGTCTGCGGTCTAGGCTGGGGCGACTACCTCGGCGGCTTCATCTACGCGGGCCTGCTCAAGGTCTTTTGGATCCAGCAGGCGACCTTCTGCGTCAACTCCCTTGCACACATGATTGGCGACCAGCCCTACGACGATCGTCGAACACCAAGAGATCACTTTCTTACTGCTATCGTAACGCTTGGCGAGGGCTACCACAACTTCCACCACGAGTTCCCCTCAGACTACCGTAATGCCATTCTCTGGTGGCAGTTTGACCCAACCAAGTGGTCTATATGGACGTGGAAGCAACTCGGCCTCGCCTACAATCTGCAGCATTTCCCGCAGAACGAGATCGAGAAGGGCGTCCTCCAGCAGAAGCAGAAGAAGCTCGATCGTCAACGTTCCAAGCTCGACTGGGGCACCCCGCTGGAGGATCTTCCTGTCATGGACTGGGAAGTGTACGTCGAACAGGTCAAGGCTGGGAAGGACCTTGTCGCTATCGCTGGCATTGTGCACGACATTACCAACTTTATCGCGGAGCACCCCGGTGGGAAAGCACTCATCAAGTCTGGCCTTGGCAAAGATGCAACAGCCATCTTCAACGGGGGCGTGTACAATCACACAAATGCTGCACACAATTTACTCTCTACCATGCGCGTGGGCGTTCTTCGCGGCGGTGGCGAGGTCGAGATCCTGAAGAGGGATATGGGTGAGAAGGAGAAGGGTACCTAGTTCAGCGGATGGGGGCTATGGTGACTTGGAACTACTGAGCGGTTGATTTGAAGTTGGATTTATTCATGAGGGTGCCTTGTCTTGGAGAAGTTTTGCAGCGTTGGGGATCTTAATGTATTTAAATTTGTCTATTTAGCAGGTAATGAGGAGCTTTATGTGAACAGGCCGCTGGTAAACGTCACCTGCACATTCTGTAGAAACCTGCTTTTTTGGCGTTTCGTTGTGATCTTCAAGCCATCAACCGTTGAACGTTGTTGTGGCCACGTCCGATAGGTCCAAGTAACCAAGGTTCTCTAGGGTCCTCGCATCCATTTGTTTCCATTAAGACGATCAAGATTTGATGGATTATTGGAATACTTTAGGCCATCTTCTGAATTCAGCAGGCTGCCCGGCTACTGTTGCCTGTTGCCAATATCTGGGGGAGTATGCTAGATAAAAGGCTCCAAACAGCGATAACCTGAAAATCCTGCCTTTTTTTTAATACAACCCCGGCTTTCTATATCTAAATTCCTTCAGGGCCTTTCAAAAATCCCACACTGAACCTCCCAGATCACTAGCACAGCAAGGTTGTTGCTCTAGCGCTTATGCAGGTTCTTCAGGGGCATCATGGCGTCTCCACTCCAACTTGCTTCGTCTGGTCACTGGTGCACAAATGATACGGGAATTCATGTGTGACAAGGCCTGGGGAATATGTATCGGACAGTCTTGGCATCATAGGTCAGCTTATACGCCTTGAGAAGAAGATTTGGGCTTCCTCTGTCTTCGTGAAAGGCCAAACCATTCCCATGTAAGCTGACGCGTGCTTATCCTTCGTTTGATGGGGACTAACTTGATGGAGAATGTGCTAATTAAGGGCCGCTATATAACCAGGACTGCAGCCGCGGCAAATGTTTTCGTCGCGATTTTATCATCTCATGTGCAATGGGCCAGTTCAAGGTCATCGTGGTCGGCGCAGGGCCAGTCGGTCTGGTCCTCGCGATCGCGCTGCAGAAATCCGGCATCGACTTTGTCGTCGTCGAGCAGCGCAAACAGGTCCCGCCCCCAACCGCCTTCGGTATCTTCCTGTGGCCACACATCCTGCGCATATTCCATCAGCTGGGCCTTTATGAGGATATGCAGAGCATTGGGCAGGTGATGACAAAGTTGGAGAACAGGTCCTCAACAGGTGAGCATCTTGAAATCTCGAACAGCTTCGAGTTGCTCGAGTTTGCGTAAGTTGGCACGAAATTCAACACCGAATGCACTGATTCCAGGGGCTTATCAATGGACCCAGTCACGGATATCCGACTATGTTGTTTGATCGACGGACGTTCGCCGAGGTGCTCATGAAGAATTTGAAGAGAAGCGATCAGCTCGTAAAAACGAACAAGAAAGTCACCAATATCACCACTCGCAAGGATGGAGTTACCGTCGATTTCGCGGATGGCACCTCGGAGCGAGGGTCCATCGTTGTTGGAGCCGACGGCGTCTGGAGCACCGTCAGGGATTTCATGCGCGAAAGGGCACCCCCTGGCCTTTTCAGTGAAGGCCCGAACCCCTTCATCGCCCCTTATCAGGGCTTGTTCTTCCGCGTGCCTCGCCCCGAGTCTCTGAAGCCGGGCCAGACGGTGTATGTGCACCAACCGAACAAGCAGTTGATGGCCCTCGTGACGGCTACCGAGGCTCATATGACCACATATGAAAGGGTTCCGGATGTGAGCGAGCGCACGTACTTTTCGCCGAATAAGGTGACTGATGAGGATGTCAAATACTGGTTCGATGTCCCGGTCAATGAGCAAATCACATTCAAGGACCTCTGGGACGACAAGGTCATGGGTGGCAAGGTTAACCATGATGAGGGAGTCATACCTTGGTGGCATTGGGATAGGCTTGTGCTCGTAGGAGATTCCGTCCACAAGGTAGAGTGTTCTGTTTGTTCTTTTGGCCTAGCAAAACTTATTACTAACAGATCTTACAGATGAGTCCGTTCCGTGGTGCTGGTGCGCGCTGTGGGATTGAAGGGGTCATTTCTCTGGTGAACAAGCTCAACCGAACACTTAATTCCAACCCAGACCCTTCGAGGCAAGACCTGAGCAGAGCATTCACCGCGTACCAGGTTGAGCGCGAACCGGCCGCCAGGCTCTGGGTGCATGTTTCGAGACTGGACATCGATCTTTACACGTCGAAAGCGGGACCTGCGTCAAAGGCGGCCACCTTTGCAGATGGCAGGACTATCCCTATAGTTGCCAACAGCCCGGTTCTGGATATCCTGCCATTCCCCGACGAGAAAGAGGGAGTGGTTCCATGGAGAAGACATCCGAAGGCTGATGGACAGTCAAAGGACGTCAAAGCACGCCTGTGATTGGTTCTGTCTGGGCTGGTTGCTGTCTCTGCACCAATACCTCATTTCGTTTCCCTCTGCTCTTCTCCTCTGTAATCAATACATGGAGCCTACAAAGGCATTAGAAGCTGCTAGATGAACTGGTAAACCATTGATTTCAGCAATGTATAGATCTTGAGCGTGTATATTGAATATTAGAATACAAGGAGTTCTCACATCATCGCAACCCTTGATATGGCCTGACCTTGAAACAGCGCGTTATCTTCATTCAACATACCTAATGTAAGAACTATATCCGTGACTTTTTCAGGTAGCAGATAGATGGGCGATATTGCCTCGGAAGAAAGGCGAGGAGAACCTAAGCTTCGAAGAATAGTTGTCACCATCTCAAGATAGATTGTACCCTAATCTGACCTTCAAGTATCACCGCACCATCCGCCATCTACCACGTAACTCCCTCCAGTAATTGCACTGGCATCATCAGACGCCAAGAACAGCATCAATCTCGCCACCTCAGCAGGCACAAGTACCCTCTTCAGGCACTGCGCACCGACAGACTCTGCTTCATATTCCGGCGTAAGGACGGTATCAATCTGTCTCTGAGTCGCGATGGCTCCAGGCATGATACTGTTAACCCGGATCCCAAACTCGCCGAACTCCCTGGCGTGCGTTCTCGTCATACCCATGATGCCTGCCTTGACGGTTGTATAGATCGGGATTCCCGTGGCAGGGATTCTCCACGTGATGGATCCCATGTTGATAATACAGCCAGACCTTTGTGCCTGCATCGAGGGTACAATGGCTTGAGTCAGGAAGAACTGATGGCGGAGATTAGTGTTTATATCCAAGTCGAAGGACTCGGGCGTCACCCCAGACGTAGGAACGCGACTCCTGGGCCCAGCAGCGCCAACATTATTTATCAGTATATCAACATGGCCGAATAGCTCGAGCGTTTTCTGCGCACACGACTTGAGCTGCTCTAAATCCGTCACATCGCAATGCATGAATGTTGGCGTGGCTGCGCCTTCGGTCTCACGGATCTTTTGAGCCAGTGCCTGGGCCGACGCCTCGGAAATGTCCAGAAAGACGACATTGGATCCCTGATTGCAGAAGTGTTCCACCGCAGAGGCGCCAATGCCCTCGGCGCCACCTGAGATGAGGGCGGTCTTGCCGCGGAGACTGGGATATGTAGCGAATTGTGTCATGGCGGTAAGCTCGAGATGAGGACGGGCTGGATGACGGAGCTGAAGAGGGGAGGCATGGTTGCATGGAGGAGCCGGCTACAGAAGTACTCGCGGATGCGACAACGAGTGCTACGTGACGTCCGAATGACGGGTATATTTTACCGAGTTACACGAAGGTGACCAAGCGTAAGACGAAGTGGTGGTTGAATTGATAACACTTTGGTAAGCCCCAGTCAGCCATTCAAGAGTGTATGAATTCTCATCGTAAGAAGGAAATGGCATCACTGCTGTACAGCTCTACCCCATTGCTATCCTCGATATCTATGTTGGCCCTGTCGATTACCAAGAAGTTGGGTAACTGTTTATAGCTACTGTTGATTAGTCGCTAGGACTTGGCAGTGACCACCGCTGCCGGCTCATCCTACCGAAAAGGGGAAGCTCCGACCATGCAAGGGGTCGAGATATTGAACCGTCGGAAGACTATCGCAATGGGCCATCTACTAATAAGGTAGGAGACTTCCCCTTGGCGGCGAGCAGAGCTACTTCGGCTACGGGACTTGCGCCCAATAATAGCTATGGGAGGTTCGGTTATCTAGATAGTAGCCGTTTAGAGAAGTGGTGAAGATTTAAATAGGAACCAAGGTAACATCTCCTGCTTCAAGCCAATTTAGTGACCTCGGGCATTTTTTCCCTTTCTTTCCCATTCCGAATTTCCAACATAATAATAACATATTGCAGGAGTTAGCATGAATGAGAGAGGAGTTATTGCTAGCCCGGAAGAGAACTAGAATATATCAGTAATTGATCCTCTGGTGATAAAAGAGTGTGTATCCCGAAATAGAACATTTTGCACCAAGTAATAAAAGATATAAGAATGATGAGATACCTTGCATCATCAACTTATCATCGTCACCACTAACACCTCAACTTTCAATTAAGAACATTCTTCTACTACATTATTATCATCAATTTAACCTTCGAGCGAGTTACAGTATTCTACTTTCGACTTTCATATCTTCTGGATTTTCTCTCCTTCGGATCCCACATTGTCCCACATTCATAATCTTCAAAATGCGTTTCGACATCTTCGCCCCAGTCACCATTGTTGGGCTCGCTTCTCTCGCTCTTGCTGCCGAACAACAGCCAGAGGTTAACGCTCGAGACTCCACCTCCTTCGGTCGTCCACGTGATCTCAAAGAGGTTGGTCTCGAAACTCGTCTCTTTAAAAATCATGTCAAGCATGGCGGCAAGGGTGGTAAAGGAAAGCGTGATCTCGAGGCTCGCCTTTTTAAAAATCATGTCAAGAATGGTGGAAAGGGTGGTAAAGGAAAGCGTGATCTTGAGATTCGCCTCTTTAAAAACCATGTCAAGAATGGCGGAAAGGGTGGCAGGGGAAAGCGTGATCTTGAGATTCGCCTCTTTAAAAACCATGTCAAGAATGGCGGAAAGGGTGGCCGGGGAAAGCGTGATCTTACGACTGAATAGTCTGGATTGCAGGCTTAAGATATTACTGCTAGTGAACTATGCTATAACTATAACATCCAAGTTACAGGAGAAGCACTTATAGATTTATCTTAATAATTTCTTTATAAATATACTTTCAACTTGTATTCCTTCATTGGAAAAAAACTTAGGTTTATATATGTACTTTATTAATACTACTTTTTGTTTTCCATAATACCAGCCTATCTATAATTTAATAAAGCCCCAATCAGCTATTCAAGACTGTATTTCTTATTGAAAGAAGATAGTATCAGCACTAGTGTATAGATCTATCTCATTGCTATCCTCAAAGTCTGTTGGCTTTGTCGATTATTACATCGCTGTACCAGGGGCGCAACGGTCTACAGCTACTGTCCATAAGTCGTTATGACTTGGCAGTGACCCTTGTTTTGGGCAGCTTGAGGACCGGCATGTCCATTTATAGCTTCTAGGGCAGTATCCGAATCTAGGCTGAACAGCCAGCGGCTGACGGAAGCCTAATTTTACAGTAAGCTGCCAGGAAAGTGCGTCAACGAAAGTCCCAAATGCTCGATGGGAAAAAGCATAAAAAAAGCGTGGCTTAGCATTATGGACAGGGCTGGAGGGATCAACACAGGCCAATGATTGCAAGCTATAGCCAATCAATGCCCAAAGTACCAGTCCCATGGAAGGGCTTTGACCACTAAAATCGACTTGTACGGGGCCAAGGTTGCGTTGCGGGTTTCAAATAAGGGACTTTGGCGCTCCATACGACTCCTTCAAGCGCCGATGCAACCCCATCTGATGGGACTTATGTCCCTGTTAATGCATCATTATGTCGTGTTCAGCTGTTCATGTCATATTATACTCCAACATCCCACGCGCCCACTTGGAGATTCGTCACGGCAGGACCGTCACGAAAGCGTACTCTCCCGATCGACTTCGTCCACAGCGGCCAGCCTATAATGGCGTCCAATCGACTGGAGGGCTCAGATTTGCCGGAGGTTTACGAAAGAGATAACCTGCCGGAGGTTTACCAGGGGCACAGATATGAGGAAGGATTACAGGCAGTCGAACCTGAACCACCCAAGATCGAACCAGCAAGCACCGAAGCTGGAAGTAGCGAGAAAGCACCAGAACCCTTTTGGACGAGGAAAAAGATCTGGATCGCAGCTGGAGTAGCAGCGCTGATCGTTATTGGAGTTGTCGTTGGCACCACGGTCGGCGTTATCACCAGTCGGAAGGGAACAAGCAGGTAAGTCTGATCAACTGGACAAAGCCCCCCATTGGCACAGCCTATCTCAGCGGTATACTGATGGATGTGAATGGTAGTGATGAGTCGGAAAGCCAGCAAACGGGAACCGACATGGCTTTGACCGCTACAACAACGGCATTTCCTACTCCGAGTGCGGTGGCGACGACATGTCACGCATCAATATGTCCAGCGGTTCTAGCCGCTGCCCAACCTTCCTCTGATCCGAAAGCCTTCTTCCTCTTCGGCCGCGGTGCCGACGCTGCAATATGGTATCGCGAATCGGACGGTGAAAAATGGCTGAAGGATTGGGCATCTTTGGGTGGCGAGTTTCAGAGCCAACCAGCGGCGGTTTCGATCCGCGAGGGTCGAATTGACGTATTTGGTATCGATGCGAATGATAAGATGCGCACGAAGTCATATCAAAACTCGGCCTGGGAATCTTCCTGGGCAGATCTTGGCGGAGGATGCCACGCTGCACCAGCAGTATGCTCAATGCGAGAAGGGAGGCTGGACCTTTTTACCCTGTCGTCGACTCACCAGCTCGCTCACAAGTTCTACGAGAATGGGCAGTGGGATTCGCCAGAATCTGGAGGAGGCTGGGACCGCTCTAACGGGTATGTCGCGAGCTCTCTGGCAGCTACTTGCCGAGGAAACAACCTTATGGACGTGACTGTATATGGAAATCAGAAAGCCCCATTCAAGGTAGCCTCAAAGAGTTGGAATGGATCGGCTTTTGAGGATTGGAGTACACTGGCGGGCAGTTTTCAAAACGATCCGTCAACTATCGCGATGACGGAGAATCGAACAGACTTTTTAGGCCTAGACGGTGACAAGGCCATGGTTTATCTATCATGGGGTGACGGAGCAACCATGGGCAAGCTTAAATCAACCGCCATTGGGGGTGAGGCTCAATCAGTGGCAGGTTTGGTTTCCCCAAGCAGTGGAAGGTTGGATGCCTTTGCAGTTGGGAATGATTCCAAGCTCAAACACAAAGCGCTCGTTGGCTCGGAATGGGGTTCCCAATGGGACGATCTAGGAGGCGCGTTCAATTCGGCCCCTCTGGCCCTCTCAACCGGGAATGACTCACTTTTGGTATTTGGGATTGGGCCCGAAGGAAAGGTTATTCATACCAAGTTGCAGGTTGTCTCGGAAAACTCTTTGAATGCCTCCAACTGGTTCAGCGATGGAGGCTCTCTTTCTACCCAGTGGTTTAGAGAAGGACCGGCATAGCTAGTGTGGGAAGTCTGCATGTCTTAAAATTTGTATAGATTATAATTTTATCCCAGTAATCAATCATGAAGAATGACCATTATACTTAGATTAGGAGCTGTGAAGTGCCATGTTAAGTCTCATATCAATTTAAGCCTCTTAAAAGACGACTGGCTACGATGCGAGCTAGGCAATTCTTCTTCTAAGGATAAGCCATCTGGGTAGACATCAAAGTGTGCTGAAATGGACACCAATGGATTGGTCGGCTTAACTGACAAAGAATCTCATGGGCCAATCGCTCACTAAGTCCTGTTCGACAAACCGCATCATCTACCGTTCTAAATTAGTCCTCATTCCTTCCAAACCACTTGAAAGTCTTTGAAGTCTGCGACCAAAGGCTTCCCCTTTCCAGGTTTGGCAGCATATGCGTCCACGCTCAGCGCCCAATCATCTCCATATCCGAATGGCCAATTTATCTCTCGTAGTGGCACTTTATCCTCTCCCACCAGTTGATAAACCCAAAGACTCAGACCAAGCTCATCCTCTTGTTTTTGGATTGAAACCGTGGTCCAGGCCTTTCCGTCAGCGTGATCACTGTTGGTGATTGGGGCAATGCTCCAGTCAGACCAAGCATCAGTCCCAACAGTGCCAAGTCGCGGGACACCATTGTACAGCTCGATTCCTGTTTTAATCCATTTTGGAGGAGGACTCTGTGCCTGCGTAGAATTTTCGACGTTCAAAGAAATAAGCAGCCCTGCTTGGTCATATTGGACTACCGTAGGCACGCGAAACGTCAGCGACGCCGATACAAAGTTTCCCAGAGGGCCGGCAGGGTTATCTGGCCCAGGCACAGTCGGCGCTGTATTACTCTTTTGGTTAACGGTTGTTTATAAGTGATGATACTCAAAAGATAGATCATACCGTTGAAGACATCTGTGCTGGGGGCCTTGCGCCATATGTCGGTGCCAGATTGTGCGGTGATCGAGAACATGATTGATGAGCCAGAACTTGAAGCCGGACAACTACTCTTAGGAAGAACCATGGCATCTTTTAATACATATGGGATTGACGCATTCGTATAACCCCGCTTGCTTAACCTTCAGCCGCTCCGTAAACAGACAGAGCAGCGGGGTTGGACTTTGTGATTTCTCCGCTTCATTGGTTCGGATGGTAGGATTCGACCGAAAAGAGAAGGAAGCTATGTAAACTACGTTGCAGATTCTTGGTAAACACTTAGCGTGTGAGGAGCTATGACGCGATTGATGATAAATTAGGTAGCATTGAGATACAGCTAGGGCGAAGAGTAAGGAAACACTTGCCGGTATGTGCTGAACTTTAATGTCACAAATGAATGAAATATGTGTCACAAGAGGAATATATGCGTGTGTTATGTAGTTGGTACGCCGGGGCTATTAAAAGTAACCTCCTGCTGCAATCCTTTCTTGGCAGCCAGCGTAACAGGGTGAGCCGATTTCGTATTCTTGAGGTTACATATTGTCAGTCTTAACAGTTGCTGCATTCCCACCAACGCATGAAGCACGTGAGAGGTACCGCTGAAACATGCCTGTTAATTCCCAGCTGCTAGCTGCAGAGGAGAGCTGGATGAGCGACAAGCCCACCGTGTTCAGCACGCATAAATAAAACTCCTGCGAGGGAAGTCGAGAGGATGATCCTGAATCCAACCAACTGCAGCAAGAGTAGCATTGCCGCCTGCAGCCATAAAAGATCTTTGATCCTACGCCAATAACGAAAATGTAGTATTAATGCAACTCTGACAAGAGTTCCATTAATGAATTCCGTTGCCAAGTTTCAATCATACCATTTCTTCGATTTCTCCTCGTCATGACTTAGTAGTGAGGGCAGCACGCGAAAGCGCCCAACCGCCCAAACGAATAAATCATGCACTGCTCCTCATCGCAAATTTTTCTAACACTGATAATTCTTCTTACGACATTACAAGATGGCTTGATTGAGGGGCGATCGCAAGCTAATCCGACGCAGCATGTTAACACCTCCATCAACGCTGAAAATGGCAAACGCAAGGATTGCTCTGGTGATGATCTCGCCCACGACATTATGGAGAAGAAGGCCGGGGACGATTACAGGGGACGCTGCGTCGACTACTCTTTTCAACCTTTATACAAACGGCAGTCAAATTGTAATGACGGCCTATCGCCTTGTGGAAGTGGATGCATGCCAGAGAACGCCGATTGCTGCAATGGCCAGAGTTACTGCGAAGCAGGCAGTGAATGTACGAGCGCAGGTCGTTGTAGATCGATCGTGACCACAAGTACAGCTGTCTCTGCGCCTTCATCGACATCAGCTGTAGTAACAACAACAAATTTGCAATCACCAACCGAAACAGATACTCGATCTTCCATCATAATCGAAATCATCCGCACTGTGACGGCACAGCCTTTAGACGGTGGGTGGCGTGGAATGATGATAGTACTTATCCCGCTAACATGATTTGACGATGCAGAGAACAATAGTGACTCTGGAAATGGAACGACCTCGACAGGAATCATCGCCGGTGCCACTGTGGGTGGCGTGGTTGCCGGTGCCTTGGCCATGGGAGGGCTATGGTTTCTCTTTCGGCGTCGAAAACGACGAACAGAACACCAGGGAGAGAACGGTCAAGTCAAGCCATCCGAACCGATACCTAGCCCTGTCTCCTATCCAAAAGCCAGCCATAAAGGCAGCAAGCTGACCACGGAGCTTGATTCAACGAACGTGTTAGAAATGGAGTGCCACCGATCCGCGATGAAGGGACAAACACGTTTAGCAGAGCTTGAACAGCCATCACAGCTGGCGGAGCTAGATGCTTCTCAATACCCACATAGATAGAATTGCGTATACACTAGCCATATAATGTTAAATTCATGAATCCCAGTTAGTAGAGAAGACCAGCCAGCGATCAGACATTGCGCAGACTGAGTTCGGGTCAACGCGCTCAGGAGGATGTAGAATACATTGTTCATTGTCTGAGACTATGATTTAGTAAATTTGGCCAGCTAGACACCCTGATACATGATTATCATAAAGCGCGAGGCTTGACGTATGCGACTTTAGCTTTTGCGGGTTTCAGTTCGTTCGATCGATGATCTCACATACCAGGGCCTCTTCAGGGCTTATATTCACAACAATTGGCTAAAACCGAACCAGTTGTTTCTCAAGGTAAAGTTCGCCCCTTGAAGAATAGCTGGCGGTGAAGCTGTGTTAATCAATATGCATGAAGCGGTGAACACTTCGTATTCAGAAGAATTTTCCTAGGTCATTTCCTACTTTTTCATCGGGATTTAGGAAATTTGCCATATTTGAGTCGGAGTCTCTTTGCATAACAGCGTTGCTGTAGATTGGTTAAGCTTCCAGAGATTCAATCATGGACATTTCTTGACATCACTCACGAAAGATGCTTTTTAAGACCATCTCGTATCCCAAAAATAGCTTCCTTATTGGGGTATATGTGAATATGAAAGTCATGAGACCTCGTGTAGAATTGCCCCTATGCAGGCAAGTTACACACCGGCAGCCTTGGCAGCAGCGAGAGACAGCTGTCACTTGATCTCGCTACCACCTGTGGCACTATAGGTGGACAGTACTGGGTTCTGATTCCTGGGATCTCTATTACTCACCATCAAGAGCTGCTGATGTCTGTTTCATAACCATCGCGGACCTATCACAACCTGGCAAGTGACGGCTGAACGTCATGCGTTGTGGCAATGTTTTTGGCAGAAAATTATAATGACGGGTCTGAGTTCTTTTGTAACGAATGAATAATGAATAATAAGAGCGGAAGAACTATATAGTTGCCGATCGTCTCGTATTTAGGTATTGTCATGGGGGTTAGCATTGCCTGTTAGGCCATGACAAAGGCTTGACTAAAGCTTCATCTCCATTCGGCACCCGACCGCCACCTTCAATTCTAAAGCACTCAGCCCCGGCAATTCGTATCAGATATGCGGAGTCATTCGCATCATTGATGTGGGCTCGGTTAAGGCGGCGGGCGGCCAAGAAGCCATTGTAGTGATCTGTTCGAGCAACCAAATGTATATAAAGAGCGGAGAGTGCATCCAAGAGATGAATTAACTCGTCAACGCTCTCAACAACCACAACACATCTTTAAGAACATTAATTACGCTCTCAATTTAATCAATATGCGTGCCTTCACCATTGCCACCAGCGCTACCTTCGCGCTCTTCTCAGTCGTTGCGGCCGACACTCCCAAGGAGGATATCTGGATTAGCGACTTTCTTGTCCGCAAGTCGTCTACTGAGACTGGCACTGTGATCAATCTGGTCGACTTTAAGATCACCGCGAACGATGTGACCGACCAGGGCTGCAGCGCTGAGCTTCCTGCTTTCCCCAACCCCACCGAGACTGTTGACTGCGGCTACAGCAAGTACCGTTTCAGCCTGCACAAGGGAACTGGCGACAACGAATTTGCGCTCCGCATGTACCACAACTTTGCCCTTACGTGAGTTTTAGGCCCTTATATACTGTAGTAAATGTTCGCGTCGCTAACTACGCTGTTAAGTGGTCTTTACTGGGGCGAGGGTGATGTCCCTGTTGTTTGCCGCGCTGGTGGCGCTGGACAGGGCGACTATATCTGCACTCAAGTTACGCCCGTCGGTATCTTTGTCTACAGCAAGCCTCCTCCTGCTGATGCATAGAGAGGCATATCGCAAAATGTGGGTTTCTCTACGGTTCAGCCCCTGTTGGACTTGCGACGCTCGGAGATTCTGGGGCGTTTATGGATAACCGTAGGCGAACTCAACACCCCAATTTGGAACATAAATAGTAGATCTAGATTTAGACTTAGAATAGAAGCATCTAGAAAACGATAGTTTGATAGCCTACTTTGTTCCAAAGGAAAATGCCTAACTCAGCAGTAGGCTAGTCCAGCACATCTGTCCCTCGAAATAAGATTACACAAAAATCAAAAACTCTATACGAACATTGATGTGATATGGAACATTATGGGAGATTGAATTTGTCTGAATTGTAAGGTTGGGTTGTTG